TGTTTAAACCAAATAACACAGTCAAATGATTCATCGTGTACTGCATATTCGTTCCCATCGTTGCCTCCAATTATTGTATTACATGATCTCCTTTGCTCTCATATCCTCCAATAACTTTCCTTATTTTCCCGCGTTATAATACGCACGTATACTTTGCCTATCATCATTATTCATTCATTCTACTTCTTCTTCCTTTGAGGTCTTGTGTTTAATATTGTGTCTTTACTATCGTTTAATTACCCAAGCTTGAGGCTCTAATAAACGCGCAAACGATTCATACTGTCCACACATTTCAACCAAGGCAATCTATTTTCACTACACCACCTGTAAAATCAATTAGAAAAGTTATTAGAAAAGTTACTTTAACCTGCCATGATACGGCGCACATAGCGAAATATGCACGCCAATCGTTGGAATGATAATGCATGTCAAGCAAAACACAACTGGACCAGAATAGTTCAACAAAGCCACATACTAATTGTATCCAGCCAAATAGTTTCAGATTTTCTAGAAATTTAAAATTATTTCAGTTCATTTCAAATAATTCATCCATCAATTTATCGTTGCAGTTATACAATCTGAGAAGTTAATTATTTTGTCTATTTGTTTGCTTGTCTGTTTCATTTATTTTAGTATTTTACCTTCGTGCTGATTAGAATATAGTGTTGGAAAAATAGGAATGAATAAAATTAAAGCCAGAAGTAGCATAGGCCGTGGATTCAAATATTCAACAATGCTCACTGCCAACGCACTCAATACATTAAGTACAATAATAGTAGCCTGAAACTGCTGGACAAGAAGACAGTTAAAGATACAAAAAGTATGAATAGCCATGGGTCATTTTCATTACTATTTTCAAAATTTTAATATTCTTTTCTTTTCTTTTGTAATTGTCGTAACTAATATTTTTTATTTACTCTATCCAAAAAAATATGATGACTTCTTTTGCTCGACTTGAAGCACACAATGCCAATAAAATTCATTTAAAAAAATGATAATTTTACCTGAAAAGAAATGACCCACTCAAAAAGCGTCCAATTACCTAGTCTATGAATATAAGCCTGAGCAGCTCTTTGTCCATCAATAGCATTATTCAAACATGCTCGAAATCCAGAAGTGGAAAATTCTCCATTGGAAAATTTTCCATTGTTATTCTCTAAAGTTTTTCATTCTGTACCATTCAAGGTAATTCGACTGACATCTAAATGTTCTCTTATATGGCCTAAGTATTGCTAGGATTTACTTCGATGAATGTTCCAGAAATTTTGAAATTCTAGTAAAGTTTGTACGCAGTAATTTTTATACCTCTATTATTAAAGTGACGCCTTTAACAGGCTAGGGCGTGAACCATTAATTCAGCACATTAACTGATTAAAAATTTCTCAAAGTTGAAAAGTGGAAGACCATAACATGTAAGTATTGAATGAAATTGAAAATAATAATAATGAAGAGATTACAATGAACATCTTAAATGATTCTAAAATTTCTACCCGAAATTTTAAACTTTTAATTAAACCGAACAAATAAAGTTGAAAATTTGTGCTAAATTTTAGAAGCTAACTTCAAACTTTCAATCAACATCAAAATGTATATATATATATATATATGAAATGAAATATTTGATGCTCGTTTTACCTTCTTTTCCATGCCACATTTCTGTCTCTCGCGGTATTGAAGCTGGCAAATCATACATCGTGTTGTTGTGTACCGTGACCTTTCGTTATATTTATTTTCAAATAAATTACGATCATATATATATATATCATTTATTCGATCACTTCAAGCAAAAAATTTGCATAAATTTTCGGTTATTTTTTCATGTAAATTGATTATTACTCAGAATTGAGTAAGAATGCTTTTTTTATCAGATATCAGAAATTTTCATACGAAAATTTCGATAAATATGAGAATAACACTTTTTAGAACATCTTTCTGCACAATAGTTTGTGAGCATTTTCTTCGGTTAAAAAGAATTATTTAAGACATTCTTATGAGAGATTCCGATGGATTACAGCTGAAATGACCGGAATGCTTTGATGTCCGTCGATCAATTAAAGCGATTCTTTTTTCGGTGTTTCTTCTTGTTCTTTTTTGATTTCGTTGCATTAATATCTTCAAAAATTCCAAAATGCAATATGCATGATAAAATTAATGATGGTTGATGTAAAATTTTTAGTTTTAAAACTTCTTCCAAAATGCTATTTTATAAATGACAAGTGAAAGAAAAGATTATTTAGCTGTCTTGTAATTTATTTCAAAAATTTGAAAAAGGAAAAATTTAAATAGAAATTGAACAGAAATTAGAATAATTTTGAAGTACCATAGCATCGATTGTTGATTTGCTGTCTGCACGAATCCCAGATACCGTAGCCAGCTTTCCACGGACAGGAGCATGTTTCAACAGCTGGACAAAATACTGATTCTGCAAAATTTAAATTTTAAATCCAGTCCAAAAAACACTTAAAAAATCTTGTGAATCGAGATTTTTGACGGAACACGAAAATTTTAAAATCCTAAATTACTCTTTTTCTCTGAAAATTAAAAAAATTCTCTGATCTCTTAGTAATTTTCTTGCACACATAAATAAACAGTAACTATCAGCGTGGCAGAATGGACAACCCGGATGTAAGTGTTCCGTAATGCATACGGAACATCTCGCATATCGACACTCCAACCTCCCCAAATGCGTTCCGTACTTCTTCTGGCAGCGGCGATAAAAATTGTAGCCACGGCATGCTCGTGCTGTAATTAATATGCAAAGCATAAGATTTCTAAATTTTTTCTTAAAAATATAAAATTTACATTTGCCAAATACTATAGGAATGCATTTCATGCTTGTATGGACTAAATGCATTTCTGGAGAAAATCGGAAAAAAATGCAAACAAAAGAAATAGTTACCATTGAAATGCTCGCATATTTTGTATGCTAAATTTTCATTTCGATTTTGAGAGATCAAAAATGGATTTGAAAAATATTTAAATTCTGTGATATTAAAAATGAATTTCTACTTTTTACGGCAATCAAGTGACATGGATAGGAAATTTTTAAAGAAAGTATGTTCTTTTTCAGAAAAAATTTTCATTTAAATTTCAAAAATAAAAAAGCAATGAATAATACGGTTGGAAGCGATTTTTATCTTTTCAGAAAATGAATGCAGACATTTATTTTTTTTCTACAAAATAAACGGGAAACAAAATGATTTTTATCAATTTTCTTTCAGTTTTGATTTTGTTTTCAAACACAAATTGGCAAATTCTTTTTCAAAAACAATCGTGAAAAATTGCTTAAAATTTATAAATTTTAAATTTTGTTTCAAAAAAACAGAAAATATAATTGAAGTAATTTAATGATCTCAGTAATCACGGCATGCAAATTATTAACTTAAAAATTGCAAAAAAAAGTACGTTTCCTTCGACTTCGGCCTAATGAGATTTCTCGTTGTTTAAGGTTAACTTCCACATCATATACCGAATTTCGACCAATTTTTGGATTAATAAAGCGACCTTTGTCGAGATCAAAACATATTCTTTTCTCATTTAAACTGAAATAAACAAATAATAGGTATTCTTAAGGGATGCTGCTCTTTAACACATTGAGCTGGAAAAAAATGATAGCAAAGGCAACTCAATGAGTCATTATTTTATAAATTTCCACTCTTTCTTCAACAAATATTGAAACCGGAAATATTGTTTTATATTCATTTCCTTATTTTCCGCTTTTCGTTTCCCGTAAATCTTGTTCATTAGTTAATAATTATCATGATTCTTTTTGTATATATTATTTACATAAGTGCAATGCAGAAATGATCAGAATTTACAAAGTATTCTGTACAGAGAAGCTTTAATTTTGGATATCAGTCAAAATATAGAAATGAAGACTTACCCGGAAGCTTCACTGGTGCAGATGAGTTGAGAGTTGACAGGACGATTATTCGGTAGAACGACAAGAAGAAGCGCAATGTGGACGACTGACATTTCATTGACATTTCTTCATGCTAAGATTCCTTTGAGAGAACTTCTACAACTTTTTTTCCGCTTCTTCTATTATTCCAAATAACACAATACAATCCTTAAAATTTCCAAAGCAATACATCTAATAGTATGATAGTATACATGATCTTTTTTGAGTTAATGGAAAGGAAAGAAGGTGAGAAAATGTTGAGATCACATAAAACTTTAACGAAAAAGGACAAATGTTGAGTTTTTGTATTATTTGATAAGAGATACAGATTCGATTTGCATTAAGCTCATTATCTTCAGTTGCAATGTATAAAAATGACAGATAGAACTGATTAATTTATATATAAGTTATAAGTCTTAATTTATATATAAATTATAAATATATAAATATTACAACTTTATACCGATATCAAACTGGATAGAATTAAACAGCAATTTCAATCTTATCAAAAAATAGTTTGAAAAGTTACCAATATCTGAAATGAAATTACTAAATATTTTATTTCTCTAAATTGTATTGTTTCGCTCTTCAAAGAATATATAAGTCAGCAGCAAGTCGTCTAACGAGGATGAAAATATATGAAAGTAGTTAATTGGTCAGGGAAGGTTTTCATTTCAACAGATTTTAATTCTCTTAGTTACAATAATAAATCAAACAAATTTCAAAATTGATAATTTCGCTTAACTGAAGTTAAATTACACACATATTCCATTCAACTTAAATAGCTATGTCTCGCCCAAAAAATATAAAGTAATTATAAGTTGGTATTTGAAAGGTTACGGTAGAGCAATCTAAAATTTGCTCCTAAAAAACGGCAAAGAAAAGATGTGTGAAGTAACTGTTGGTAGTGTTGCTGCCAGTTGTGCATATGATTGATCGGACTGTTCGAAAACGAAGATGCTTGTTTTACAGCTTAAATAAAGTTGAAAAATGTGGGAAGTGAAGGAATATTTGTTCTGAAGGAAGTCATCGATAGAAGGTGACAAAGTATTTGTTCTATATGAGATTTCTGAGGAATTTAAAAAATTCCTTGACATACTCAAAGCAATTGGTATGGTTGATCAGATCAGAGTTACACTACTCAAAAATATGAATGACAACGACATTTCAATTGCACCTTAATGTACCAAAAGCATACAGCACAATTATATGCTGAATTTATTCATTTCATATCTGGTTTATATTTAAATCTAATTGAATTCATTATAAGTAAATAATTATTTAGCAGTGGATATTAATTCTTTTAACATTGAAATGCAGATTGTACAAAAGCGGCTATTAAATTTGAATAGTCTAAATTGAGTTAACAAATTGAGTTAAATGAATTAGTTAAAATAATTGAAATATTCTCTGTAATCCATTCAATACATAATGCATTTGTAGGTTCATCGTAATTGGCACAATATTTTAGCTAAAAAATTGATTAAACCAAACAAATTTAAATTAAAGGAAATTACTTTTTTAAGTGCTTACTTTTTTAATTCTGCAAACTAAACAAAAATTTAAATTACTTTTACCTTACAAAGAGTAATTAAAATTACTTGTTTTACCCAAATATCATGGAGGAGAAAATTAAAAGAAAATTTTGAGCAGCATTTTCTAATATATGATAACAAATGATAAAATATTCAGGAATTTGGCAAAATTTTCCTCTTTCATATTAACATACAAAGAAAAGTTTACATTTTAAAAATATTAACGGAGAAAGTGAAAAATTCAAGAACTATTTTAATTAGAATAAATGCATGGAAGAGATTATCATAGATATGAATGAGTGAAAAGCTGTTTGGTTCATTTGAAAGAAAGCACAAAAAATGAACCGAAATATTGTATTTTGTCAGGATTGGTAGCGAAGATCGTTCGTTGCCTCATTTTACACACTCGCGCTCAGATTCTAATCTAATACGCCTGTAGCATTCCATTCTTTTTTTTGTTGTCTTTCTAGAACATAAATGATGATGGTACAGTGTTAGAATGATTGATATTCATTTACTACTACCACCCATCACCACTACTACCGTTGTTCTATTATGACCGGTTTTTTTCTTCCGTTCTTTTAGAGTGAATAAAATATGCTTAGGAGGAAAGGACTCTTTCATGTCTTTCATGTCTCCTTCTTCTCTTTCATATTTCAATGGATACAAATTTTTGAGGGAAATGAACTATTATTGATTGCATAATCTGATGACGATCATTTATTTTAAATTTTCTTTTGAGAGGAAAAAGGAGAGAGAGAGAGAGAGGGAAGGAGTAATGAATGAAATTTCAAGCGCTTAATGAACTTTATGAAAAATAGTAGGTACAGATTATGAAATTTTTCTTATTTTAACTACAAAATAAATCTTCACTCTTTGTTTAGTAAGCAGATTTTTTAGAATTTTATTTTTTGTTTTCTATCTGAGAGAAGTATTAAAATTAAAGTAACGTTGTTTTTTTTTGTTGCTGAAGATTGCATTTTTTTTTTTGAGAATCTAAGCTTTATAATTGAAAGACAACTGAATTTAACTGAGTTCGTTTATGCAAATCAGATCAATCCTTCTTCAATTTCGATTTTCCATTGGGAATTGAAACTTTTGAAAAATTCTATTTTGGTAATGGAAATTCTTTTTTCTATGATCAAAGTTTTGGAGAATTTGAAGCAGTTGTTGGAAAAATTTTTCTCATAAATTAATCGAATAGATTCAAAACAATTTCAAATATCAACTGGCTGCTTTGTTCATAACAATATGAGATGATGATACTTTTTCTTTTCAAAAGTTTTAATTCCTAATCGAAAATCATTGGAAGAGGAAGAGTTTGCTATGCATAAATGATTTCAATTAAATTCAATTGTTTTTCATATCCTAAGATGTGACTTTTTCAGCTATATTTAGACAAAATATAATTCAAAAATATGTCCTCAAATTTTCATCTACGTTTCTTCAACCCTTAAAAAACTTTAAATATGCTATTTATCTTCATAACAGTGTCAACTATAAACAACGTAATTTTTTTTATGAATTATTATATAAATGTAATCAAATTAGTGTATGTAATTAATTTAGAATAAATACAACATTGGAATTTTGACAGATGATGAAAAGGAGATGGAATAGGAATTGACAGATGAAGGTGGAGCATTAAGAATTTCAAATTGTGTAACATAAACGCTTGTGATTGAAATTATCGGATGCAATTTGTCTTTTAGGAAGTGCAAGGCAAATTCTGGATAATCGGGTCAAATCTTTTACTGAAAAAATGAATGAGAAAAATTTTATTTCCAGAATGATTCCAGAAGGTAATGACAAGATCATTCTTTGATAACTTAAAATAAATTGTTCCTCTTTTTTTGCTTTTCCTGATCTTTTTATTTTTAACAAATGATTGAGAAACTGAACCAAAAAAGCATTCAGTTTGTTTTTGAATTTCACACAAAGTTTTATCCCTCATTTATGTCCAAGAAAAAAGGAAAGGTAGTATTGAACTAAATTAAACTGTTGCATTTATGTAAATGAACAAAATTATTTCTTGATATAAGAAAGAAGTAATTGCATGCATTTCCTAATACACAACCAACGAGAACGGAGAATTTGAGAAATTTGAGAAATTATTAGAAAAAATTAATATAACTCGAGGAAAAATAAATAAGCAACATTCAGAATATTCAAGCATCTCATGAAGCATCCAATTTTGTTTTTTGATATTTTATTCACGGGAAAATTCTTTACTGAAATTGGTTCGTAAAACTATCAATAAACATTCTAAGAAAATAAAAATTCATTCAGTTTTTTATTCTTTTTTCACTCGATTCTTTCCAACTAACTAAAAAAGAGGAATAATGAGTAAGAAAAAGGCATTTCCGAATTTTTTCAAATTTTCTCAGTGTTCTTTTTCCTTTTTTCAAAATTTAAAACGACATTTCATTGTCAACTAATCCAAAAAAGAATGAACACTGTAAAAGAAGGAAACGAAAATTTCGATATTTGCAATACTCGAACAAATTAGCAAAACATCAATAAAAGAAAACGTCAAATAAATTTATCAGGAAAAATTATTTTAGTCCCTCAGTTAGGGAACATTTTCTTTTTCGTCAGAGGAAAAAAAAATGATTTCTTTTAATTTCATTTATCTTCTCAGTATAGCGATGAATGGATGAAAATCTTTGATGTTATGTAAATTTACATACCAATTAAAATTTTTGACCTATTTACCGTTAATATGAACCGAAAGGTAGGAATGGGATATTTTTCCTTATTTTTTTCATTCCTAATATCCAAAATACGAACACAATTTTGCACTTTTTTCTTAGCCCTTTTCTTCTCCTTCCTCTGTTTGCCTACTGATGTCCTAATTGATAGGCCAAGCTATCATATATATGCCTGGTTGGGACAGTTAGTTGGGTTATATGCAGAACAGTGTTGAACAGTAGACCGTCCAGAATCATGCAAACGTCGAAGATTCATTATATTACCAGCTTGCTTCTGATATACAATTTTGCAAATGGTATATTAACTGCCGCAATTGATAACGAATTGATAGGAACACCAGTGGTGAGCTTTTCTCCACTTTTATCATTTATTCCTAATACATGCATAACAATATTAGCACTAGGATGTAAATTTTTTTTATTAAAATATGATTTATAAATGCATTACTGCAGAACTCGTCTCTATCGACAATTTAAATCTTATTTTGTAAAATTATTTCTTTTTAAACAGCATGAAGCTTTTTTGCTGCTAATTTAGTAATTATGATGAACTGTTACTGAGCAGATTTGGTTAACATCATAAAATGACAAAATTAATGGACAGTAAGCTAATTTCTCGAAATATTCTGTTGGTTACCAATCTAAATGCTCTTTTCATAATTTCTTCTTTTTATCTTCTCATCCACTTCAATTTTTGAGACTTTCTAATTATAAGAATTGTGCTTATTTCTTAAATTATTTGCATCGTCTCTTGTTGATGGAAGTAGTTAATCACACTTGAATAGTTGAGGCTATCAAAATGACTTATTATAGTAGACAATCCAATTGTTTCATTTACTCCATCGGGCTATCGATATTATCATAGTATCAATTGAATTTCCTGAATCACTTTGGAAATTCTCAATTAATTATGGCACACAACCTATATTATCTCATTTATTTGCAGGTAGATTGTGAGGATACGATGGTATCGTTAACATTCCGCACCAGAAAACCATTTACTGGACGTGTGTATGTACGAGGATTAGCTGATGATGACCGATGCTCCAGAAATTTCGCATCAAATATTGATCAGAACAAATTTTCAATGATGATTCAGAATGGTGACTGTACCATGCAACGACAGCGAGTTACCGGTTCTTTAGAGGTATCTTCATTTTATTTTTAATAAGATTATAACGATCACTTTAACAATGCATATTAGCGCAATAATTTAACTTTCAAAAGTTTAATGTGTAATTGGATATTTTCTTTTTGTAATTTAAATATTATTTTTATTCATTCATCGTAAAGTTTTTAACATTTTACAAAATATTTTAATAATTTAATACAATTTTAGGGTATTATGTTTTCTCTTACAATCGTTGTATCGTTTCACGGGACATTTGTAACGCGAGCTGATCGAGCCTATCGTTGTATGTGTTTTTTCCGAAATATCAAAAGGCTAACATCCGGTGTAGATATGTCATCAATTGGCACTACTGAACTAATGGATACGGTACAAATGCCAACTTGCACATACAGTATTCATTCAGGAAGCGCAGATGGACCACCAGCTGTGTAAAACTTTTTCAAAATTCTCAAATTTATTAGCTTATACCAACTTTTATTAGGCATTCTTTTTTGTTTCACACAGTTGCAACTGATTATTTTGCTATTACAATTTATCAATTGATTTACTATTTAAATTATTAATTTGTGCATTGTTATGATGCATGCAACTTAAACTTTAGAAATTTATTCGAAATAATTTAAGAATAAAGGATTGCCACATATTTCTAATTAAATCCAATCAGTTTTCGTCAAATATTTTAAAAAGGACTAATTATGAATAAATTAATTACAGTTACGGCCAGGTAGGTGAGAAAATTTACCACGTTTGGGAATGTGATGACGACACACAAGGCTTTTTGGTACATTCATGCTTTGTTAATGATGGGCGAGGAACACGTTTTGATTTGGTATCTAATTTTTGTTATTTATTTTAATTATCCAATATTTAAAATAAATTAGCAAAAAAAAAATTAGTAACAAGTTGAAATATGTTTAGCTTGATTTGGATGGATGCGCTATTGATCCGATTATTCAACCTGACGTGCAATATGACGAAGACATGAGAAGAGTAAAATATTTCTATATTTTCATAAATTCAAAACAGAAAATCTGCCTTAAATTTTTTGAAAAAGAAAGTATAGTGGTGGCTGAATCAAAAGAAATGTACTAATTTTGAACTCTGAAACAATAAAGATAGGATAAAAGCAAAATTTTGAAATTGCAAAGACTGGATTTCGGTTTTACTGCAAAAGAATGTCATATATTCTCAAGAAATGTTAGATTTAAATTGCAATTCTTTGCACTATTGAATTGCACTCTTAAATTATATGCTATATTGAAAAGTTCAATTCATAAAATTAGTCTCCAATCAAATATTTCTTTCTTCACACATTATAAAGTAATTCAACGTTCTTTGACAAATCAATAACTGAATCAATAACTTAGCATCTAAAATTTTAAAATATGCTTGAAAAAATATCATATCGTACTTTAGCAATAAACTTGTAGATGAATTTCCAACAAGTTACATTTCCATTACTATTTCAAACAATCGCTTACTCAAGTTTTTCATATTAATCATTCAAATTTTTACATATAGAATTTGTAGGCAGTGGTTGAAACGTGGGGCTATAAATTCAGTGATACTTCAGTCTTAAATTATCAGTGTGTCGTTGAACTATGTAAGAAAAATGCTGGTGAATGTGAAGGTCTTACACCACCAACATGTATTAATAATAATCGATTTCGGCGCAATATAATTGGCAACAATTCTAAGTCTGTATATTTTTAATTTTAATTAATAAAATAGCAGTAATTCAAAGAAGTATTCTGAAATCTATGATAATTTAGTATCCTATTGGAAAAAAACACGCATGTTACGTCATCACATTTACGTAGCAATCATCAGATGGATTTAATTGCTACACTTAGCATGCTTGATAACATCGATGAAAATGGAGTCACTGATCCTCGATCACGGTATTTAATGCAAGGAATCAGTCAGGTGCATTTTTTTTAGCACTAATTTTTATTTTTAAAATTAAATGATTTGCAGCGTTCTAATGATTTTAAAAACATTTTATTGAAGTTTTAACGTTAAACGCGTATGTTATTCATTGGGTAATACATCTGACGTCTTTTTTTTCTTCTGATATTTAGAGTGTTATATGAGATTTTTAGAATATGGTTAAAATGAAATTATTTATTGGTTTTTGATAAATTCACGTCAAATTTATATCTAATTGATAGTTTCACTAAAGGAACTAAGTAAAAGATTACAAAACGGAATATTTAAATTTCAGTCTAATGATGGGTCAAAAAGTGGAATGGCAATAGCATTGGCAGAATCACAAAGAATATGTCTAACTTATCCGATTCTTGCTACACTGCTTTTTGCTACTTCACTTCTACTTACTACTCTATTAACCATCCTACTTTTCTTGTACAGGAGAGATAGGTAATAAGCTTTTCAAATTTTTATAGTTAAAAATAATGTAAAATAAGCACGGAATTTTCATCAATACCGTATAAATCATTTCCATTCAATTGATTTATTATTTAATATTGAGAAAATTCAGATTCTTGATTTATGTTCTTCAAAAGACAAATTCTTTTATTTCTACTTCGAAATTAAAATTCGACTTTACAATTGATCTTTTGAATTTCATGCGAAAATTGTGAAGCTTAAATCTATGGAGGATAAAGAACATGGTAATATGCTTTATTCCTTCTGTTCCTTTCTTCTTTAAACTAAAAATACTACTTGATAACAAAATCCAATCGGTAATTTAGAAAGTTTTTTTCCAGGAAAGCACTGAAACAATGAAAATATCTGTCTCCATTTTGAGCGATGAACTTAATCGAAGTTTGAATTAACGATGACTATTAATTATGATATTGACGAGATTTTATAATATTAATAATATGAAATTTCAGATTTTATTATAATAATAAGGATATTAATAATAAATAATACGTGATAATATAAAATGTAGTGTTTGCAAGTCGATCTAATAAATATCATATGGAACCAAAATAATTTTTGAATAAATAATTTTCAAATAATATGCTATGATAACCAGACACTTCGTTATGATAAACCTTACCATTTATCTCAAGGGATATATACTGGACAGGAATCTTCAACAAAGCTGGAGAATAAATTAATAAAAATTAATGCTGTAAGTTAACTTTCGGTCAACAGCTGATTGAATGTAAATTTTCGTAAGCTAATTTCTATCGAATCAAAGAAAAAATTGTTTGAAAACAAGTAAAGATAGTTGCTTCTATATCAAAGAATCTACTCGTGAACAACTGCTGAAATCTCAGCCAGCGACAAATGCGCTTGTTATTAATTACATATTTTGGACACCAATTTGCAAGTTGCCACAATTAAAGTATCAGAATTTCTAGTGGAACTAATCCAGAAATATGGCAACCATAAACATCAATCCCGAAATAATAAACATATTCAAAATATGCAAACGCATTAAAAAGGTCCTATCATTCTCAAAAAATAAAGTAACTTATTAATTGGTGTTGCTTTCATTGTTTCCAGAGTTCGTCGTGTGCGGGAATTCTCGAATGTCCGTCTTGCCATACCTAATAGTGCATCACGCGCTCCACTCCACGCATGTGGACCCTATAAATAAGTCAACAAATTATTCCCATTTCACAAAAAGCACGTGCACTTGCAAAACGGAACAAAAAGAGTAAAGAAACTCAAATTACGATTCCGTGAGATGGCTGAAAATAATCATAATTATGATAAAAAGATTCAATTGAATCAGTTAATCAAGAAATTTCTTTTTTTCTCGAAGCCAAACTTCTCTCTGATCAATCAATGAGTGATACTGCTGTCAAAAAGCGCAAATCTATCGTATTGCAAAATATGATAGATTTTACTCATTCCAGGAAAATAATTAAGATCGAAATGCAAAAGCAATTTTTATGAATTAAACTGAAAGCAAGAGCATTTTCATAAGAACATAAAAGTAACTATAAATATTAATAATGACAGAAATTGATTAATCAAAATAATTCATTTGATTAATTAAAGCAATTTTTTTGCAATTTTTTTTTTTTTGAAATTAACCCTAACATTTAATCTAAATTGATACGGTGCCATGCCATCAAAGAACAGAGTGAATGCCAAACGAGGATCAGTGAACAAATATTTGAGCAAATTTGGTTTCGCACCAAACATTTCTGCTAATTCATCCATATAGCTCGCATATTCAATCTCAAATTTATTTAAGTATATGAAAATAATAATTTTTGTCTCTCTTTTTTTCTTTTCTCTCATGTAGTGAAAAAGTAGCTTTTTAAAAAGTTAGAAGAAAAGGAATTAATATTTCCCAACTATGTGATATAATTGCAACAAACCTCCAAAGTATGTCGCCGACTTTTCACAAATTTTTTTGCCAACACCATTTTCTTTCTCTCAATATCTTTTTTCATTTCATTCTTATCGGGTAACTTACAATGGCCAATAAATACTTCACAGTAAAGTCGAGATTGAATTTCAGAAACAGGCATTATAGAACCAACTGGTTGAATGAGACCTATTACAGCTAGAGTATTCTGAAAATGTGAACAGAATTGGTGCTCAAGGGGAAAAAATGTTGAATAATAAAGTAAAAATATTACAAGTTACGAAATAAAAAAAAATCAATATTGAAAATTTCGAATTTTTAAATTAATGTAAACCTTTGATGATAATTGCGGTGGATACATTTGTAAATACAAATCAACATCATTATCAGTAACAGGTATAAGATTACCATCCTCAACGATTGAAAATTGAAACGAATAACCGGTGCCAAAGATCACCGCATCAACATTACTCACCGTTGTGCCATCTTCGAATATCACATCGTGTTCAGTAAAACGAGCAACATTTGGCTTAATCTAAGTTCCATTGTTCATTATTTAACGTATAATCAGAATATGATAGCATACAGAAGTATCATAAATAGGGATTAGGAAAGCTCACGTGATCTTTATCGGTCAAACGTTAAATCTAATCTAATAATTAATCAGATTCTTCATGATCAACTTTATTATTCGCTTAATTTTACTTACAATAATAGATCCACAAGCGATACGGCCTGGCAGATCATCGTTGATGGTAGCGTGTTGTGCAGTGGCACGATGTTTCGGTTTTAAACCATATCGTCCATGATCAAAATACTCATTAAGTTTCCTTTCATACGCTCTATTAACCAACTATAATTAACATTGCATTTTAAGCGTTAATATTCAAGAGATAAAGTTAAATCTTAACTGAGAGAAGAAAAAACTTCAGGATGATTGGATAGTATTGCAAATAAAAATATTTCATCAATTGTTTCATTTAAATCTTTTTTTCCGTCTGATTATTTATTTCTAATATTAGAAATAAATAATCTAAATTTTTTTTGGATTATAAAATATAATTTTACTTATAAATTTTTAATTCACAGAACCTATCATTTTGTGATATTTTCTAATTTCACGGAACATTGAAGTTTTAATTTTCATTCATCCTAAATTAATCATATGCGAGTTAAGAGCTATTGAAAACCCATCAAAAAAGTTTAATTAAACAATTAGCATTGGGTAAAAATGAATGAATTTGCTTAATCAAATTTATGATAATTAATAAATGAATAACAAAATTTACCCATGATGGTAGTATTTTTCTTATCATGTGCATGCATCGACTAATAAAAACAGAATCAATCGGTTCACTCCAATCCCAAGTTCTTCTAACTACCCAAGCACCACTACGAGTTGATAAATAAACCTGAAATAAATCTTCCATAATAATAGTGAGCAGAAAATATGCTTAAAAAGAAGACAGAATATCTTAACATTTTAAGAATTTTCAAATTTTGACAAGTAAAAAAATCGTACCTCCTTGGAAATTCTACTCAAATCGACTGCAATATCACCAGAGGAATTACCAATTCCAATTAGTACTACAGTCTTGTCACGGTATGGGAATGGTTCACGATAATCCTGGCTATGAATAATTTCACCTCGGAATTTGTTCTGTCCCGGGAACTGTTCCGGCCAATACGGTATTGCATGATGGCCATTGCAGAGCAGTACTCCATCAAAATTTTCAGTTTGCGTCACATCATCGCTATAAAAAATAAAATTTTTAAATGCTCCTCGTTGGTAGTTTTTTCCACCTTTTGGCTGCTTAATTACTTACTTTCTTTAAAATGAAAAACATACCAAAATAAGCATAAACACTCTCTGGAATGAAAAACTACTGAAATAAACACCGTTACTTCATTCTAAGAGTAAGATGTCTGAAGGTAATTATAGTAAGGTCAATGAAAATAATAATAAGGGAGATAAAACAAGATGGCTGAAAAAATAAAAGTTAGAATAGGGACAATAAAGGATAGAAATGAAGAAAGTTTATTAAGGTTAAATTGATATGCAAGAGAGAGAAGAGCAAAGGAATCTGATGCATATGGATTCGAATGAAGAGAAGTCAGAAACTGATCCAGAAGAACTACTATTGCTCAAATCGACGCAAAGAGAAGTAAAAAGAGATGCTATGGAAGAAATTGAAATCAAAATAGGCTGAAACTCTTCAGTCTCCGAAAAGTTGAAAGTCAATGCATGAATTGCTCAAAGTTGCAAAAAAATTAAGGAAATACTGTGAGTGAAACAGAAAGAATAACCAAATTTAAGGCAGCGCGAATTGTCATGATGAATCAGAGATGGGTATGAATTGGCTCAATCTCGAAATAATCGACAATGATTTCAAATTCAGGTAAAGACAAAGTGTGCAAAGGAATATTCAAATTGAGTTAAATCAAAAGAGATGGACAAAATTATTTTATAATTACACCTTGAAATGATATTTCTTCAGAGACTGAAATGATAACTGACAGACAGCTTTTGTAATGAAAGATGAAAGCAACGATATAAAATTGAACTTTCTGTTAACAAAGATTATATTAATATAATAAATGTACATTGATCGCCATGTGAAAATCTTTCCGAGAAGAGAGAAAAGATAATTAGTTGGTAAAGTGATATTAAAAAAGGAAGGAATGCCAAATTAAAAAGAAATCATGCAACGAGCATATCATCATTTACAGAAATATAAATATCATTTGTGCAAAAAAATGAGGTTGCGAGAAATGTAAATAAAAATTTAAGGTTTCAGAAAGAAAAATGATAAAAAATTTTGCCATAATTTTCATTGCAAACCAAAAATGAAAAACATGACACAAAGCAGAGCAAATTAAGGATCAAAGCTCAATGATTATGCCAAAAAAGAATAATTATTAATCTATTGCAAAGAAAAAAACAAATTGCGCACAGATCAAAAAACTATTACATTACACTATCTCTGTCACAATTTTATCATGGTCCTAAACGAAAATACTGTGACAGTGACATTCGTGCAATTGAGACGATGTCTAATTAATTTATTTCATTTTAAAGAAATAAAACGAAATAAATTAAACTTACTTAATGATACGGTATGTAACATTCCATCGTCCAGTTTCTTCATATTTTTCATCCTTTTTAATATTTAACACTTCATGTCTCAAATTAATGTGTTGTAATAAGTGAAAATGATCGGCATATGATCGAAAATATGCCAAAATTTGAGTATGACTCATGAAATTAGGCATTTCAGGTGGAGGGACAAAATCACTAAAAGCTGTCATCTCTTTTGAAGTATTGATTGTTGTATTTTTCATCACTGTGCCTTCACCTGAAATTTTATGAGTGCTATAAAAATGCAAAAGTAAGAAAATAAATACAAAAAAAAACTTCTCTCACTTATTCTGTTAGTATATTTCTAAAATTGTTGATTAACAAAATTAGATACGTGCGAGGGCAGAAATAAGTTATACATTATAATAAATTGTAGTTCTGAAAAATATTATCAGGGAAAAGTTTCTTTTTTTTTCATTTCCACTCATTCAAAAGGTCATGTTTATTCAGACGGTTATTTATTTTATAATATCCAAAATGGTCAAAAATTTATAAAGCTATTAATTACAATATTGCTTAAAAAATGATTTTTGTAGCAAGGAAGTATAAGTTATAATGATAATCAAGCACCGTTTGTCCAGTGGTTACCCAGTAAGTGAAAAGTTAGCTCTATAGATTCAGAAAATATGAATTTTTTAAGGTTCGAACCAGGATAAAGTTCCTGTTTATATCGCCACAGTCCACCAATATCAGAGGATTTCTCGAAGCATACCACCTGTAAACCATTTTCAAGACATGTTTTTGTAGCGGTCAGACCACTTGCTCCTGCACCTACCACACAAATTCTTGCAGCCATTTATATTTTCAATTGAATGTTCACTGATTTCCACCAAATATCAAACTGAATTTATGAAGTGAGAAAATCACCTAAAAATTGAAATTCACTTTGCATTTCTTTAAGATTACTAAATAAAAAAATTTAGTAAGGAATAAAGAAGGAATATTTTTTGGATTATTAACACTGAACATGTAGTTAAGTCACCATAAAGGTCATCTTAAAAATGACAGATTGCTGACCGTGAAACAATCATTGTACAAAACTATTATAGCAGAATTGTTCATTCTTATATGTATTCGGTGAAGAATTCTGATATATGTTTTGCATAATTTTAGATTACAAAAAAAATCTCGTAAAGCTAATTAGTAAATCATCTTATGATTGTGTGAAGCCGACTCAAACAACATTTAATTATAAGAAACAAAAATAATCAATCGACTAGCTTGTCTGACTTTAACTTGCATATTCATAAATTGTAAAAAAATTTTCGGGGTATTACAATATACTGTGAAGAGTAATATTGGAAAATATTAATTGTGGTCATTAAAATATACATTTCTCGTATTTAAGCTATTATTACATGAAATATAAAAAAAATGATAACATTTTAAATACTATTTTTTAAAGAAAAATTCATTTCTTACACAATTTTTCATTTAATATCAAACTTCTTGGAACATAAATTTTTAAGGCGAATTTGATAAGCTTTGGAGAATTTCTTCAGCGAAATCTTTTTTAGTATTTCAGGCATTTCACCCCAAAATCAAATGAACATTATAATGAAACATATTTCACTATTATTAAACATTATAATTAATCAATCCCAACCTATAAGAAATGTTAAACCTCTGCTGATCTATTGATAAACAGGAAAAAATTTGAAGAAAAACTTGTGATAAAAGAGCTCCTCCTTGTTTTTTATTGCAAAAATATGGAGAGAAATGTGGGCGTAATACGGTAGTATCACATTATTTCACTATTAATAGTCCATAATACGTTTCAGAACATTTTTAAAATATCATTATTTCTCAAAAATTTCCCCTTCTCTAAATTCCAAAAAAGATAAATTTTAAGGTGAAAAAGTTCAAAATGAGAAAAAAAATTTGGAGAAAAAAATGTCACAATGATTGATATTTGAGAAGTGAAATGGTAGGAACATCGAGAAAGAAAAGAACGCTTTGTAATATTTATAATTATTATTGAATAACAGTAATAATTGTAATAAAACTATTTAAAAAAAATACACGCCGGAAAAACCAATAGAAAACATAGAAGGATAGGGAAAATCATGACTGTGAGAGAAGAACAGCAAAGGTGTCGTTGTCTTCCGCCTTTTACAGTAACAAATTATAATCATCGCTGAGCAGAAAAGTAGCAAAATTAAATGATAAAAGAAAAATTGAGAACAAAAGGAGAATGCTTGAAAGTGCATTTTGCTCATTACTGATTTAAATAAATCATTCCCAACCCAATCTCGCTTTATATTTTCATATTAATGAAGATTCAAACACAAAATATCAGTTTTGATATGCAGAAAAAATTCAAGAGAAGTCAATACAGCATGTTACTTTATAAATTACCAATTGCATATTCTCATTCACTTTTATTATTCAACCAAAACACATTTTGAAAATCATTTTTTCGCGACCAAAATAATTTTGAAATGTCACCATTTCTCATGTTTTTACTTTTATGATATTTTTTGTAAAAGAAAGGTTAAATTTTTAAAATGAGAGTGAGAACGTAGAATGAAGAGCGAAATTAGAGAGAAAAATTCTGCAGCAAAAGGAAGGAACATCAGAATTTATGTTCTGATCATTCTAGCATTGCTTATGTTTTTTAAGTGAAATGCATGAAATTCTCGATGTTGAACGAATTGATGGTAAAATTTTAGCAAAATTTAAAAATATAAGTTTAAGGATTTTTAGACTTTTCAAATTGCTGGCAAAAAGTAGAAGACAAACAAGACAAATGGAAATCGAACAAGTAGTATTTTATTATCGTCACTAAATCAAAATCAAGTCAATTAGTGAAAGTAATTTTACCGATTATCCATCCAATTCAATCATTTCAATCCAATTTTGCTGTATATTTTCATGTTAGTGGAGATTAATCTTGAATAATCGAGAAACGCACTTTAACTGAATGATTTGACAGTAACTTAGTGGTAATAAGACACTACTTGATATGTTTCTTGATGCTAATTTCGTTAAGCATCACAAACACAGAAAATTCAAACATCAAAAAGGCTAAAGCCAGTTTTAAAAATTAACAAAGTTAATTGGAGATTATTATTGCTATAATTGATATAGTGAATAAACATCTATCATTTTTTCCATTCTTTCCATTCAGTAGCTAAAACCTGCTCAGTTATATTCAAGAGAAATCGACAAGCTACTATTAGCAATGATAAAAGACTGATTAATGAACTGCTGACAAAATGTGTACTTCACCCGAAGAAAAAGAAAGAAAGAAACCGCCATCTATGTTCGTATTCATAAAAAATTTGAAAACTGTGAAGTGCTCACCAGTCTTGGCAATTATTTGCTATATTTTTTGCACTAATTATGCTGTAACATTAACGTTACCATCGTTCATACATATATTACAATTTGTTACATTCCAGAATTTTTTGAATACTTAAACAAACAATATATAAATCATGAATGTGCACATATAATATAATAACCGGAAACTTTTCAAATAACAATTAAGAAAGCCTAAAATAAAATGGAAATATTTGTTATATATAGATATAGATACACTATTTTACAATAAATACAGTAATTTTCTCACATGATCTCCTTTTCTATCAATTTTAACCTCTGAACAATTACAAAAAATTACTTCAATATCGGTGAGTGCTAATGATTGATTTTGACATTCACAAAGTGAAGGACTGAAAGAAAGGACAATTTCGTCGCTTATATATAAAACGAAGTTGTTCACTAATATTGGTCAATGTTGTAATTTTAAAAATCGCTATACAAACAATTCATCAGATGTAATAAACCCGTTTTGTTAACACAAATAATTTTTCAAACTTTTTTGTATTTTTTGCTGTGAGATCTTGTGAGCAGGATAATTTAAAGAACTGGAAATAAAAAGTAAACGTCTACAAAAAATTTCGTAAATTCATTGGGTGTACTGAGAAACTCAATAAAACTTCATATTCGCATGGATGATGGATAAATCATAAGAACACCAAAAATAACCTCTGACAATTCGGGAACAATGAGCAAGATTTGAAGTTTCCCAATGAAATCTGAAAATTTTCTGACAAAATTCTAAAGCACTCATTGAAGTTATTCTAAAGCTAATATTATCATCACTACCGGAATTTTAACTGTATTATGGAAATCTGTGGATATAGAAATTTAAATGAAACATTCACGCGCATTTTTAACTTAGAATACGGAGTTTAATCACATCATTTTAAACAAAGATAAAGCCTTCAGTAATACCCTCATTCGCCTCTCCACATATATCATTTTAATTCAAACAAATGATGAGGAAAATTAATGAATCCATAAATTTTAGAAACTTGAACATACATTAGTTACATACTCCGTTTTCAATTCCCTTATAATCATAGCAGGTAACTGTCGTTAAAAAAGCAGAACGTGTTGTAAAAATGAATTTTTTCAACAAATAGCATTACAAATAAAAATTTTCTTAACATTTTTTCCTAAAAGTTTTTATTCTGATGTCTAATTAGACTTGCACTAAACTAAAACTGGCGATTTAACGGTAATAATAGAGTGCTGCATTAAACAAACATACAAGTTAACAAGTGACGATTGAAAAAGAATCATACAAAAATGTCAAAAGACATCACGATACAAATCTATTTAAAAAAGAATGTGTTAATGAATTGAAAACGATGAATGGAATAATTTAACATAGAAATTACAAATATAGAAATTATTAAAACCAGTAAAAGAAGCAAAAGTTGTGCGGAGTAAGAGACAGCGGTATATACAAAATGCGCTTGATAGATTCGAAACCAACGATTTTCAACAGAGAATTTTTCTAGATGTAATGTTTCTTAATTCACTCCAATCTCTCCTTTATATTGCCGACAGTTCTAAATGAAATAATGGTTGGCAAAATTATTCTGTACATACATCACCAAGCTCTATAAAAGTTCATTTCTAAACACCTACTGAAAGTCTTATGGATCATTACAGTACTACTAGAAAAGTTTCTATACTCTTATTTATCATTTGTTAATAAAAGTTATGACGAATTCTAGTACCAACAAACATGGCATATAAAGGAAAATACGTGGTAAAACAAGACAAAATGTATATTGAAAAAATACAAACATCAAAAAATATCTCAGACTTCACTTTTTCTTAAAAAAGCTTCTTAATCAATGCAAGATCAGCTAAAACGTCTTCTCAAGTTGAATTAAAAAAAATTATATGACATCTAAGTGCGAAAAAAAGCAATATACTGCTCATGTTCTATGTGGGTTTTCACTGAAATTTCTATAAAATATGCCTATTTTCATCATTAAAATAAATACTTATCACATACATAACAAGAACTGCACCGATATTCGCAAAAAAACTTGGAAATTTTCTGCGACCGAAGATGATTTCCTTTCCAAGCTTCAAAAATTTGAACCTGAGACATAAAACTAATAAGTCGCTCAAAAATATTTTAAGTTCGAAAAATACTAGCTATTGCCGGATCCAATGCATCGTTGATTTGGAGAATCTTCCCTATCCGACAATTCATTACATCTTTTTTTCCAGTTTCGTCCATCCAATATTTTCGATTTCATCGCCTTTTTCACAGTCTGTAAATTTTTATCAAATTTCTCACTTTACAAAACAAATTTCAAACCAAAAATAAAAAAAATCCAATTAAATTAATGAGAAATCTTTAAAATGTCGCATGTTGCATGATACTTAACAGTGTTGCACTGGAGTAGTAAAGAATAGAATCATAAACTTTTTGCGATGTTCTTTTCTCTTAAAACAGAGACACTTTTAGAAAAAATTTTTCCTGAAGTTAGTTACAAATTTGCTTCAACAATTTGAACCGCTGATAAAGCATTCATTTGATTAACTATATACAATCCACCAAAAAACTTTCTCTTATTGGAATCACAACAATAATTTAAAGAATGGTCTATAAACCTTATAAAAAGCAAAGGTGATAGACACAACATATAAAGTGCAGCCTTTTTAAGCGAGTACCAGCAAATATGAGAGAGAGAAACATGTTTTTTCTAGCATGATTCCACACTGCGCAGTTTTCTTTATCTAAAGACAAGAACTATTACCTAGAACGTCTACCGACTACATTTAGATAGTTGGTATTCATTTAGTGCTTAAGAAAGAACAAGGATTGGGGAAGAATTGAAGTACCTTCGCTGAATGAACCAAGAATTTGAACAAGGCAAAACAAACTTATAAATACAATAGGAAGTTTCACAATTTACTGGAACTTTAGAAACTGGTATATTCAACTGAAAAATAACTGAAGTGTCGCAGTGATTAAAGGAGCCATTCGTTACCAGTAAGAGCATCGTAGTTCAATCCCTGCTCTCAGTCGAAACCACATTCTTCAAAGTACCTTTATTCATCAAGTCATGAAAAAAAACTATGTGCTCTTGTAATAGACGCTCACATTGCGTTTTGTATTGCCCACTATAACAAATCCAACATTAAGCACATAAGCCTGAGAGATTTGAAGAAACAATGATAAATAAGAATTGATCTTGACTCACAAAGTGAAATCGGCTGAATGATATCTATGTACCGACAAAGTCAAAAAAGAGTTATGAGTTTAAAAATTCATTTCAAAAAGATAAGAACTATTATTAGACAATAACTAAATTAAATGGAAAGATGCAGCAGATGGAAGCCCTTTCAGTTACATCACGTTCGTTATAAAGCGAACCTGTGAGTTGTCAAGAAGCGGTGAGCCGAGCAATAGACAATGTTCATCGAGACTTGATCTAGACAGCTTTTTTTGGCCATTCGCTGTGGCAGCGATGCTGCCATCCTCCCCTCCAGCTGATACCAATAATCCCCTAAAAAAACGTTGCTATTACCACCACCAATACTTCGCTCGAGTACTATCGGAAGATTTCAGCCAATTTTCACTATGAAATCCAACAGTAATAAAGCAGTTTTTCTCTCTTCTACGCTCCGATATAAACGATTGCAATTTGTTTGTAGTTTTACATAGCACTGCCAAACAGTCATCGTTCCTCACATTTTCGACTGAAACAAGTTTCAAAAGGCAAACAGCATCACACTCGCGGAGCCTCATTTAACATTTAAAAACATTATTTTGGTACTGGTCTAAATGAGACATAAAACAAGAAAAAAAAAACAGATAAGATAACGGTTCCAAATTCTTTTTTTAGACAAATAAAGCATGTCATTAAATGAATAGTAATGCCAAAATAAATCTTCATAGTTGCTAATCAAGAGGAAATCAAATCCAGTGAATTTAGTCAAAGATGTTATTAAATACTAATAGTAAAGCTTAATATTTTTGTTACTTTACTATCAAAAACATGTTTTTAACAAACTTGGTTGTAACTTGGTTATTAAATAAAGAGTGTATAAAGAATAAAATTCATTGGACTTTAATCGGAACCATTAGTAAAATTTTTATTACTACCGCGGAAAAATCAAACCTAGCAATTTACGGATTCCTGATGCAGATTTCCCTGTAATCTGATATTCATAGGAACATCTCAACAATTTTCAACAACATTATAAATGTAGTAATCTCAACAAGTATTATAGAAAATTTTTCGCATTTTATGAAATAAAAATTCATGAATATGATCTACTGATTCATCTAAGATGTTCCTGTAGCTGTCAACAACTTTATCTCTTTAATTTTAATGAAAAATAATGCTATCTTTTATGCTATTATGTAATAAAGCACGCAATAACATGATTTCCTAAAGTTGAGAAGGGAGAGAGATAGGAAAATGTCATAAAATAGTACAAAAAATCGTTGAAATTTTCCGAGAAAAATTAATGGTTTAAAAAAACGGAAAGGTGACTACAAAATACAACTCAAAAAATGTATGAAAATAAAAATATTTTTTGGGAAAAAACATAAATTGTAAGTGATCAAATCATCACAAATGAAATTACGTAAAGTAATAGTGATTACTATTTAAGAGTCATTATATAAAGTAAAAAGTGTGCAAATGCGCAATGTAATATGCAAATATTTATTTTTATGAAATAGGGAAATTATTAAAAGCGGAAGTGAATAGTGATTCTTGAGAAATTTGACTTAGCTTATTTGATATGAAAAGAAACCTCAAAAAATAAATAAGCAAAGAGCACTTATAAAAAGAATGTATTAATAAAGTTTGTTTAGTGTGGATGAAAAGCAATAAATCGAGACAAACTAGTTAAAGTCTCAATCATGCCAAACAAAATGTAGAAAATGTGAAGAAAGAAAAGCAAATTATAATTTGTCGAATAAATAAAAGCTTTCAATGCTCATATGCAAACTTGTCGATATCAGTGGCATGATATGTCATCTAAGAAAGTCATAATTATAATGGCAATAATATTTTGTAACAAATAAAGAAAATGATGCAAGTAGACTGAATGCAAACAATTTAAATCCAATGATCAGCACCCTAAATCTAAAATGTAGTAACGATGTGCTGGTAATAATTTGATCTGCACGAATAAAGATATTGGGAAGAGCAGATATATCTAAATCACGTGGCCGAATTTATAGCAGATTTATAATTAGAACATTAAATCATTGGAATACATTAATAAATCTTCAAGTCAATAAACAGAAGTGATCCATAACCAAATCCAGTCATTATTTGAACCATTATGACAATTTATAATTTGAAAGAAGAAAATATCAAATGATTAACCCACTGCTTGACTGATTAGAATTTCATAACAAGATCTTTTAATCAGAGAAATTATGTAGAATAAAATTTGCAAAATAAAAGGAACATGAATCGCGAATAGATAAGCAACTAAGACAAACTAATATTTCAAAAACCTGAATTGAAGACAGAGATCCACCGCCAAGAAAAGATAAGCAATAGCTAGCATGTTACATCTATTATTTACTGATAATCCAGTACATTGCTATTATTTACGGATAATCCATTCCTTGCTACTCTGTCCAATTCAAACCCATTCGAAATTCTGCTGAGTTAATTTAGTCAAAACTAATATTCAGATAAATTTGAAAGCTCAAACTCCTTTCGTCATAAAAAATTAGCTGATTTCATATGCTACCGAGGTGCATAAAAAATACGTGCTGCTTCGTTATCATCAAAAACTTGCTTAATTATAGATCGTGATTATGTTGGTACGACAGAAACTCAGCAATTGATGCTGATGCGACTGTTTATATTCCAGCTGTTTTAAATCAAATAAATTAATAGTAAAATAATTGTTCACCAGACCTGCTTCCTTTCGAAATTAATGTCGATTTATAAGCCAGTAGATAAGTTTGGGCGGTGATTTCCAAATATGTACAATCATCTCGTACGACAGCCGAAAAATCTGGCGTAAAAGAAATCGCATTTTTTTTTACTGGTTCGGATGGTGAAACACCAGACGTACTTAAAGAATTGCGTGAAAATGTCACTTGTGCCCCACTACCTGGAAAAAATGGTTTTTTATATTTTGTCGGTTCAACTTTTTGTTGTTAGTTTTAAATCTTAAAAACCAAATTACACGGTAGGTTTGCCAACCAGGTAATAAAATTACTAGATTCAACAACTATGAGATACAAAACTTGCGGACTTTAACTACTTCACTGACTCTACTTGCATGCAGTAATTGTATGCAGCAATTAAATCAAGGAGTTCCTATATCATTTGGTCGAAAAAATGTTTAGCTAATGATGTTGTTAGAACTAGTTGCAATACTGAAAAACACCTTGTTGCTGTGATTGAGCACCAGTAGTCCCGTACTGCTGTTGTGCAACTGCAACCAATTGCTGCAGAAGTTCGGCACCAAAACAATGCCATGGACCAGCTTCAAAAGTCATTTCATTCTGCAAATAGATCTCTCATCATCAAACTTCCTAAATGCTATTAATCTGAGTTAATTTTATTTATCCAATTTAGACTTAACCAAAGTAGTACCTGTCCGATTGTAACCATTGCTCTGCCTTCCAGAATTAATATAAATCTTTCAGAGGGCTCCTGTTTAGTGTAAAGTTTCGCTGTCCGTGGAATCACTGTTTTAGGGTCATTCATATCCGGTAAATGAGAAAATTCAACCTGGAACAAAAGTAAAATTATTAAAATGTATGAATGTCAATACTCAAGGAATTTAGAGCTCAAAAAAAAATTAAGCAGAGAAGTTTAATTCCAAAACAGGATTAAATCTATTCTGACTTAGAATGAATTCTAGAACTAGGCTTAAGATTCAACATCTGAAGTGATTCATCCAAAAAAGGACTGATCGCTATATAAAACTATAAGAATAATAAAAAATTAATAATAAACATTAACAAGCAAACCCGTCGAACGTGCTGCTTGATAAGCTTCTCAAGTACGTTCGGAGATATGAGATCCGGATTAAATGCATGCTGATTAGTTGCCAACCATTGCATTGTTACCAGTTGCATTTGTACTGAAATAATGCGAGATGGACCATCTTCTTCCAGTAAGCATGCAGCCAAATCAAGTGCCTATAAGAAATGAATTGAAAATAACTAGTTCCAAACATTTCATGAATTCACGAATAACTTTCTGTTTGTAATCACTGATATATTCGTTGAAAGATTCAAAGTTTAAAAAAAAGGAACTTTAAAAGAATAAAAGAGATTACGACTTCTCTTCAAAAAAGAAAAATTACAAATTGTTAAGAAAACAAAACGGTACGGAAAACTCATCAACTTTTACTACAGCTGTCGTTTCAACATAAGCGCTACCATATCCTTTAAAAATTAAAAATTTAAGCAATAAAGAAAGTGATAAAGGATAAGTAATTAACAATACACATAAGATAGCTAAAAATCTGCCAATTTAAATTCCAAAGCGCATCTGATTCAAATGGCCATATGCTTCATCTTAATCTAATCATATAATGTCTACTATATGTGTGTCGTTTAATAACAAAGAAAAACAAAGTACATCAGACTGTTTATATATAGAGAAGCTAGTTAGAAATACAGGGATTTAATTAGCAGTTTCATTTTGGTATAAAGTGTTGGCATAAAAAGAGTGCTACTACGTCTACGACGTATGAAAAAGTGAAATTTTAATTCATGTTAGTGAAAAAACAATGAAAAAAAATCAAAATGTATGAGAAAAAATGGTTTCTTTTTCAGAATGATCACGTAACAAAAATTAAATTTGGCAGTAGAATGAAATTAAGCACAACAATTCTGGAAACAATGTTCACGACTACAATTATAATAAATAAATAGATTTTCATAACAAAATTTAGAATAAAAAATCAATGAAAAAATTTTGAAAACGCCAACTGAAGCTCTACGAGTAGAACAGGCAAACAATACTAACTGCAATTCATTAATTTTAAGCTTCTAAAATCATATAAAATTTTTAAAAATGGCTCTATAAGATAAATAGCAATTCTAAGTATCTAACTTTCTATACGATTGGTATCAGAGACGCTTTTCACTTCTCATAATTTAGAATATGAAGTGTGGAAAAAAGGGAAAGCAAACTTTCTAAAATTTAATTATAAAAAATAAAGGCTCTAAAACAAACTTATTGCCAATTGCTATATGGTTCATTGAGAAAAAATCGTTGAAAAAGTTTTTCATATTAAATGTGGAAACAAAAGAAAAGAAGGAAGCTTTTTTTAATAGAGCTTATTAATAAAAGAATTACTTAACAAGCAACGGATAATAAGTTGAAAGAACGCAAAATTAAAATACGCTAATACCTTCAAGAACCGTTTGCGACGCTCCAAGATTTTTTCGACGATACTCACTAGTAAGCATTTAAAAAAACAAAGAAAACAGTATGGAAAACCTTGAAATTAATGAAGGTAAGAAATGATTCAATTACTTGGTAACAAAAGTTCTTTTTATGCAAGACATCAAATTAATGAGATAATCAATAATACTTTTTGACCTAAAAAATAAGAGCTTCAGGAAAAACTTATTGCTATTTGCTACATATCCATGTTAAGTTCTTATTTTTTCATTGAGAAAAAAACGATGAATAAAGTTTTCCAAAATCTGGAATTTTCAAGAAACTGATGGAAAATCATATGTTGCTCATTTAATTTTTGCAATGACACAATTTTTAAATTAAAACTGTGGAAACGAACTGTCCTAATTTATTTTGTATTCAGGAAATGTTAATAAGTCTGTAATAATGATCTCAGTTATGGAAAATTTGAGACAATGAGAAATGCTGAAAATATGATGCACTTATAATTCTTATTCGAAATCGGTCCTTAACATTATTTGGAATGTTTTCACAAATAAATGTAGTAACCACATAAAATTCCGAATTAAATTGAAAACTCAAATATTAAAAAATAAATAAAAAAGATTCGAACTATTTAAGGAAATAATAATGAAGAATTACGATATGCAGAGGAATTAATAATAAACAATATTCTGCAATATTTAGATAAATTGCGCAAGAAGTCTCTAATTGTTGTAATCTCCCGGGAAATTTAAAATATAAAGATATTTGCCTCTCAAATTTACTAAACAAGTGAAGGATGAAGTTGAAATAATGCAAAATTAGAATGTGAATTATAATAAATATTTCAATAACCGTTTTCGATGCTCCAAGATTTTCAACGATAGTTTAAACTAGTAAGCACTGAAGATCTATTCAGTGATTTCTATTTCACCTTTTTATCTGAGATCTTAAGATATAAGGATTCAGCGGTGAAAAGCTGAATTTTTGAGGAATAAGCAATATCAAGTGAAAGGAAAAATATTAATTGCAAAGTACCTTTTAAAATACTACATAAAAAACATTTTAAAAGTAAAACCTGAGCATTACGCCGACGTATTCGATGAACATTATCCATGACAACATCTGTTTCATCTACAATTTCAGCTTGAAGGATCTCTTCGACAATATCCTCCAAAGTAACAAGCCCAACGAGTTCATAAGCTGGATCAGTCTCTTCTGATTCCACAATACGCTGTACCATTGCCAGGTGATAATCACCCTAACACAAATAAAGAAATAATTGCACAGAATAGTCTTCCATCGTTATATCATAAATTATGGATATTAAGATTACTAGATGGAAATCGCTACCAAGACACTAAACTTACTTTCTTAAATTCTTCAAGCATCACACGTAAGGGGGTATCTTCCATAACAAAACGCAAGGGGTGTTCGTGAAAGCCACAAACTGTTTGAATCGTAAAATTATCATCCGGATCTAAAAGTGCTAGATCCTTCACAAACAATAATGCCACCACGGTATTTCTGAAAAGAATTCAGCAAAATGATGCTCAAAAATTCTAATAAGTTAATAGTGTCTATATAAACTAAAAAGTATATATTTTTAATAAAGATAAAGACTCCGATGTATTATAGGTCTGGAATATAAGGAACGTCTTCTTCGCCATATCACAAAACTTACACTGAACTTCTGGTTTTTTGCAAACCAGCTCAGTTCCAGTAAATTACAGTCACTGCACCCACTTCTCCGAAATGAGATTGCATCTCACAGTTATTCTACATAGTTTATTAAAATTACAAGACTTGTATTTGAAAGGAAATACCTATCACCGGAGAAAACTGGTATACGAGTGTATCCCATACGTAGAATTTCAGCAACAGTCTTTGTGTTTAAAACCGTAGTATTTGGAAGCATGAATACGTCCTAATAAGAAAATTAATCACTGAATAAATAGAAGAAATAAAAAAAAGTCATTTCGTATTACTTCATCATGTATATAGAAATTCAAACTTTTGTAAAATTTCGTATAATAAAATATGACAACTTTGAAGTTCTGTAAATGTAAAATATGAATATGAATAACTTTAAATTTATTCATTTTACTGTTATCATTAATCACCCAACTTTTCAAATATTGAAAATCATTTGGCCAAAAAAGATATGAAGAGAAATTTTTTTTGAAAATCTAAAATATTGTCGACATCTGTCATATATATGAAATTTAGTTTGAGTGCTAGCTTACATCGATTTTGGTCATAACATCGCTAACTGTCTTATCGGATATTTCCATGGCACCAACAGCAATCTTCAATTCTTCTGCTAACCCTTCATCACGTGTTGACATTTTGATAAGTTCCATCAATCGCTTACGATCGTACGATATTACCTGAAATGCTTTATTCCTCTTCCTTATATCCTTAATAATACATACTCAAAGTCCTACTCGCATGAAAAAATCGATTCAAAATGTTACACCGGTGACATCCGAATTACAAGGTGTACCGTTTTATACAATAAATTTTGAAGTGTAATTAACGACAAACACTCGACAATATAAATCATTGATAAAACATTGTTTTCACTATTTTATGCAACAGAAATTAGAACCTGCAATGATCAAAAATCTAGCAAGGAATAAAGACATACTTCATCGCCTAACAAAACGTCCAATATTTTACTAATCGGATAAGCAATGGGAAATGTAAGTACCATAAAAAAGCGGGTTACCCATATAGTTCGCGCACCAACTGCAAGCCCTTTCCTGAAAAATGAAGTAAAATTAGTGGTCCGAATCAATCTTCTCTGTAATAATCCGTCATACATATGACTATGTAAACTTTTCGCGTCAAACATAAATGCAGTGCATAATTTTAGGTAGTAATTGTCACAAGTAACACAACAAAAAGTACCCTTGGAAGACAACATTTCAGAATATGCTGATATGCAGTACCATCTCAGCACGATGTTAATGTCGTAATAAAATAGAGAAGTAAAAAGTTCTTGCTTTAACAATTCATAACATAAACTGGATATGTATAAATAGAGTTAAAAGTTCATTTTAAAGGAAAGTAGATGTTTACTTGACACAAAGACTTTGTGGAAAGATTTCGCCAAAAATGACAATTCCAGCAGAGGAGGTTATAAGCGCTACGTAACCGCTGGTGAGATCATCGAAAAGTATAGAAATGGCAGAATTAACACAAACATTTCCTATAAGCAAGGCACAAAGGAGCAAATTTCCAGAACGTCGCACAGGTAGTATTACTTCTGCATATGCACGTTCTTTCTTTGAACCTGAAATTCATGACCACTGCACAAAGTAGGAGAAAAATAATCAATATCATAACCAATCTATTGTGCAAAATATTTATAATCATACTTTTTTGGAATTAATACTTGCTCTGTGTATTACAACATTTTAAACAGGGCATAAAGCAATGAAGTTTCTGCTACTCAGATTAATATTTTTCTTACTATAATATCTGGATAACGATAAAAATCATATGATGCTAAGATGCAATAAAAATCAAACCTTTTCAAATCTCTAATGAACTAAAAACACACCCGACTTCTGTATGAGCATCAGTTCCTGTGGTGTGAGTGCCATTAAACCAAGATTCAAGCCAGAAAATAAACCGGAGAGTACAAAGAGACAACATATTAATGTAACCTGAATACCCATAGGCAAATAATATTGGCGTGGTGGTATTTCAGTTGATATTGTAGCTCGCAAATCATTTAGCTAAAATCAAAATTTTTTTAAAGCAACAAATAACATAGATATGGAACTGTAACACAGAAATGCTCCTGGAAAAATCAAATGTCACAAGTTCTGCTTTTTATTGAAGTTGCGATAACTAACTGATAGTCCGCTCACCTTTCATTAAGTCTCACTATTTCGGCACCACATTGTTATTGTTACAGTTACTAAATTGTATTTTGAAAAAAGCTACCGATTCAACGATTCATCAGTGAGACTTTATTTTAGTGTTTTCCCAAAACACTAACATTCAAACCAGTCACCATAGTATTTTATCCTTTACATAAATAATACATTTTCAGGAGCATTTTTCACAAACTGTGTTCAACAGTATAGAGACCAATATTAACCAAGCAAATTTCAATAAAGTCAATTAGATGAATTATGTTTTAAACATCTATGAAGAAAACTAACCACTATGAAATGCTGCTCAATCTCTTCACCTTTCGCACCTTCTTTCGGCTTCTGCTTAACGCATACATAATAGAGATCTGCCGAACTGTAAATTAGGGAAATTGAATTCCAAAAAAGCTATGAAAACTTTAAAGTATAATTAGTCAGATAAACAAGAACCGTTAAAAGTAGAGAACAAAATAAGTAATAAGAAACAGCTGAAACAAACTCAGGGAATGCTGCCTTAACGACTACACGTTTGTCGGTTTGAATGGTAAAATCGGGTTGTGTGATCTCAATATCGGACATTGAACAGTTATTTCGTGTGAAAACAACCAACGCTATATCATCCATTCCGAAACCAAACAGTACCACTCGGACTGGAACATCCGGCTGTACTATCGATACTTCTTTATCACTGTAATTCCAGAATGTATCGTATCTAATTATCAGTCCGTTAGAAAATTTAAAATATATCTCCAACGCTCATGCACTGTCAATAATGAGTTCCGCAAATCACATTCGTATTCCATATAATAACAACTGTAGCTGGTTGAATGTAATAAATTAAATAGTTAACGAAATTAGTTTGAAATTAAAAAAGTGCCAAAACCACCAAATCTGCAGGAGTGAAAAAATTTAACTGTGCTCAAGCAGTCTTTACACTACATATTTCGTGCAATTAACTTAATCATGTAATTCCTACTGTGTTCAACAAATTTTGACAAGACGATGAATGACGAAGTGCTAGTGTGCAGCTGATCAATCATATAATAATATACAGCTTACGTATAACCAACGAAACCGTTATCCTCGGATGGTAGTCCTTCAACCCTGATTCCAGCTAAATGTGTTTTCTTCTCGGTGAAGCCAATATCACTTATAGGCTGCAACTAAACGCTGAGTTCATTAAACAACTATATTGGCTTTTCCGAATATTTGAGTTAAAAGCAGCAATTTTTGAAATCAAATTTTGATTTCTAATAGGAAGTTGGAAACAGAACTCTCGTTCTTTCGATCAAATAGATTTTCAATTCCTAATAATTTTTTGCTTCAGTTCTCAAATTTCATCAGATACCAAAGGAATTTTTCAAATAAAAGGATCAAAGTCCTGCACAAGAGCAATCATGTTGAGATTGATTGTATTTATGTTAGAAATGATTTATTTTCTTTGAAGATAACACTTGTATTCACACAGTCCATACGAAATGTGATTAAATTTCGGAAGACGAAAAACTGCTCACTTTTAGTTCCTGCTTTTGTGACAAACAAAATGGAAGTAAAAAGTAGCAGGCAATACAAAAAACGCTATAGAAACGCCATATCCAGATCTGCATTCCCTTATTACAGAATTCCCTGAAAAATGAAATTTTCATTCGATGCTTACAGCAATGAAACAAGTCGCATCTTTCTGATCAAAATAGAAAAACGAAAAAAGAAAAATCTTGCAAAGAAAAAATACAGGAAATAATGATTGAAGAGGAAGGAGGAAAGGAGGAAATAGCTGATTATAACAGTACAAAATATGGTTTTCAGAATGTTAAAGAATTTTGAAAATGACAAGAGATGTGGGAAAAGCGGGAAAATATCTTTTAGAAAATTTCATTGTAAAATCACTGAGTTAAACTTTTCACTTCTTTAAAACCTCTTCTCCTTCCATCATCTACATTGCCATAACAGTTTTAAATACTGAAAACTAGTAAGAGCAAAGTGAGTCTATTTTTTTCTTTATTTCTTTATTTGTGGGTTTCTGAGTAAGCAAAATGTTAGTATCACGAGAATAATCTAAACATTTCTAGAATTTTAATGCAAAAACAAAAATGAAAATGAATAGATTGTAAAACTGAATTAATCTCGCAATTAACTTCTAAATGATTTCGAACTGAACAAGCCGCGCAAAAAAGAAAAAAACTATTTGCACTATAATAAATAACATCCGCAGGAAGTGATAGCGTTATTCCTATCAAATGTAGGTACTAGCCATAACAACAGGGGACTACTTTTTAGATTTACCGAAAGTCTTGAAGTAAATCAACAACAATGATTGATCTAATGCAAATTGATCTGACCAACTGGAAATTCAATGGTAAGTTATTGGAATGCCAATATGCAATCCTCTCTGTCACTTTCCAATTTATTTTCTTTTCCTTTTTCAAAACACGAAATTAAACTGGCCTTGTGACTCCGCTTGGAAGACTTCCAGTGTTAATGTCATATTTCTTTCATAAGAGTAACACTCTGTTCTCTACCACTAAGTAAGTAAATATTGCGTCTCTATCTGTCTACCAAATTAGTGACATACTTCACGTGTTACATGCAAGTCAATAAAAAAACGTTTTTTTGCACATGCAATGATTGTGCATACATGCATCACAAAGGATGAAATTATTCCCAAATATATAGCGATGGAAGAAAGAAAATGGGTAAGCTGAGTAAGAAGCTAAGCAAATAATGGAGGGTGATGAATTGATTTTCAAAGATTTTCGAGTCTGTTTAATTTCAAAATTTGAACAGCGCATGATGATAAGAGAAATGACCGAAAATTTAAGAAATAATCATGCAATCAACAGCGTCCATCACAACCCAACTTTCCCTGCTTATAATGTTTTCCCTTCAAAATCCGTTATGCAAATTTAACTTGCAAACCTGATATACTCTGTGAGTGAGCCACAAAACTTTCACGTCTTGACAGTTTATTCAGCGCAAGTAACGCTGGACAATAGTAGAATCACAGCGATTTGTTCTATGCACAAAATTTTATCTCAGCTAAATTTAACTAAAACAATTCTCACGATTCATGGGAGAAGTTAAATTTGTGGTGGATTCAAGCCTTCATTTATTCAGACTGCAATGCTTCAACTGAGGAAGAAACATTTCTCCTTCTACGATCATCAGATGATATTACGTTCTAGTTCGATCTTATGTTCTAGTTTACCCCACTGCACATCACTATTTAATCGTTGTAGCTTTGAAATCAAAACAGTCAAAAGGTTCAAGAATCGGAAAGGTGGTATTTTCTAGTCATGGAAGAAGACAGAACGGAACTGATGATCAGCTCAATGATTTATCTGCCATATTTTTCCAAAATGCTCAGTGCCACTCTTGACCCTTAACTCGTATAATGTAGTAAATCAAAGATGCAAATACGGTTCTATCCTCTAAGATCCATTTATCTACCCGTTCTGGGAAATGTACCCAATTGTATTTCATGGTTGGCCGTTATTTTGAAACTATCGGTGTTTCTTCCGGTGAGTGGAAGTTGTTAGTGGTGCTCCTGGTGGGCGAGATATTTGGGATACTTGGAGTGTGATATTCAGGAAGGGATGGATTATTGGATTAGTTTACTGGAATTGATTACTGGAATTGTCTATGTTAGTGCTGTGGAAGGATACAGAGAAGATTCAGAGGAAAGCTGTAATAAAAAGGCATAGAAGTGAAAAATGAAATTATAACTGTGGATGTTCATGTTTATTGCTCTGAGGATTGTTCACTTCAATTACTCTTTTTTCTTTGCATTTTGTTAACTGAATTATGAAAGGCTGTGACTAATAACTGTTTGTAGAGTTGAGGACGTTTTTAATATGAGGACAGAATGCACTACAGATGGACCGATCAAGACGGATGACTTACATCATTTGAAAGAAGGCGAAATTTTTGTGGATTCTGAAAGTGGACACAAATTTCGAGTGAAGAAAACTGCTTTACCACAGCAATCTGTGGGAGGACCACATGGAGTTGGTTTGTATGTCGCTTTTGTTTACAACGAATGATATTAGACTAATAGCTATATCATTTCAAGAATGTGCAATCACCACGCCCATTATGGCTGTTTTAGTTAAAGAATACAAATATCTGACCTTATTTCTTAGTGAAATGCTTTTTTTCTTTTTTGGATAATATGTGTAAATAAACTCATAACGAAATTTCTTGCTTTTTGATTTTAATAATATTCATTTATATTTCAGGAGATCCAAATGACCGATCATTGCGTCGATTGGAAGCAGATGTTTTAATACCGGATCGCATGAACGAACGGATACAAAGAGTTGAATGTCGCGAACCGCTTGAAGGTTTTTTTTTTCCTTTACAGCTTTTTGGTTTACGGACAAAATGAAATGAATTTCCTCTTATGTTCGACTATTTTATTATATATTGTTGTTACACACTTATAAGCTATTTTATATTTCATTCATAATTTATTAGTTATTTTTAGGGCTGGCGCGATGTTTTAGAAAAGAAGGTAACGTTATTGGTATAAGAAAATGTCAGAAAGAGTTGAAGCGGTATGAAGAATGTCAACTTGCTAAGTAAGTTTTGTACAGTTTTTTAAGAATTTTCCTCACTTGTGATTTATAGCACGGTTATTGAATTCAGAGCAGTTTTGGATATCATCCACTTGCTAGTTAATTGTAATTCATTATTTGACTTAATTTGATTTTATCTCAATTCAAGGATATGTTGCGGATACTAGGTTTTATTTTTATACGTTATGGATCTATTACTTTTGGATCTATTTTTTATTCCCAAATTTATTACTGAAACTCTTGATTTTGTAGATTTAATGATCCATGGTTCCGTCAACAAATCACTGATGAATATATCAAGGAGCGATCTGAATATCGTCGAACGGGAAAAAATGTAATGGAAAGAAAGTGGGAAGACTATTGCGAGTATAAAAAGAAAAAGGGTGATTGGATTGATCTCAGTGATTATAACAAATGAGGAGTCTAGTTGAGAGTTCCATACTTCTTCCTAAAAGTTCGTATGATAGTATAAGCTCCCCTCCCCCTCCTCCCCCTATAGGTTATTGAACTTTAAAGGCCGCTGTTTGTCCATTGATAAGACCATTCTTTTGGTCATTCTTTTTTGAAATGATTCATAATATTGCTCTGTTGTTAGTTTTGCTCTTCTACAGTCTTACTATGTTGTTCTCATTAAACTTAATGGTGGCAAATTATCCATTTTTTATTGTGGCTAACTGTTCTCTAGCTATCATCTATATGCAAAATATAAATCAACAGGCTAAGCGATTATGTAAAAGTTCAAAAGTGCAATGGAACTATTGCTTAGTTCTTGCTTTTCCTTCCTAAGTTTTTGTAGTTTCTATTGGTTTTTGTTCATTTGCATCGTAGATGGACTGTAGGCACATTAACGTTAATCATTAATTATTACTTTGTTAACTTTAATATGTAAGGTGATTTTAGATGCAATATTGTTTGGTTTATATTTGATATAGTTGATATTTTTTGCTCTGCAAGATTCTGATGTAGTCTGTACATAAAATTTTAATCGTAGTTTAAATTTGTGGCTTGATCTTTGAAGTTTATGTTTTGATCATAATTAATGTAATCGATGCTATCTCACAGGAACAGATCAACTAAAAGATTGATGGAGTACTTTTAATTATTGATAAAATCTCTTAAAAATTGGACTCTAATATTTGAACCTCAACTAATGTGGTAGCACCAAATCGCTTAACGTCAGGTACCAATTAAATCCCATAGAAAATACAAAAATAAATTTGGCTTTTATTTTGGGACATGTGATTTAAAGTCAGGGGCGAAGCCATTTCAGAAATGTCAGAAGTACAGTGGTGTGATCTGTGTAAGGTTCAACTATCGTCGAAAGCACTGCTAGATGTACACGATAATGGCAAACGTCACCATAAAAAGGTTACAGAGCGTGCTGCGTTATTGGCCTTAGCCTCCCGGTCGGTATTTATTTCTGGATTAAATCCTGAAATTGTCATCACCGAAGCAGAGGTTTTATTTAACTATTTTATTTGCATGAAAAAAAAGATTTCAAGTGAAGTTTTGCAGACTTTCCGAGACTATATAGTCATTTACTTGCTTGGTGCGAATAGTTGCATGACTCGTCTTTTAAATTTATCTTTCATGAAAGTAAAAACCCTTTTCTTTAAAGACAAGCTGACAAACATCATGTTTAAACAACAATTCGTTTATATTTAACTTTAATTTACCTTTTTAAGCTTACTAGAATTCTTTGCAGATTTCAGATGCTCTCAGTTCTTTTGGAAGGGTAGAAAAGGTTCATTTGGATATTAAAGGAGGCAAGTATGCTATCGTCGAATTTGATCAAGAATTTTCGGCTAATAAAGCCATTTTTGAAAGTGAAGTTCATATTGGGCTTGTAAGTTTTACTGCAATTTTTTCTGTTTGATTTTTCTATAGCTGCGGACAGAAATCAGCAGCATTCAGAAAACTACTTGAAAGCTAAGCATTTTTTACGGAATTGGTTCTATTTATTTTTTGTTTGTGTACGTATAATTTGTATTATGTTGTTTTTATCTTAATATATTTTTCTCCTTACAAATTATCACTGAAAATTCAGCAAATCGTGCGGATACGACCACGAAAAATAGATTTTGACCAATGTAAGGCGAAGTCAAAGATACATATGATCGATACTAATAAACTTATTAGTGAAATTAGTGGTTTGGCTACATTTGCTGAACAAGTGAATACTTTATTAGAACTATACTGCCTCAGTGATGCCGAGGTATGATTATAAAATTTAGCCTTAGATGTGAAATAGATGTAATATTATTTGAATGGTATTTATATTTTTTCTGAAATGTTTAGGTTTGTTATGGACCGAAAACACAACAACCGAGGTCGAAAATTAATACACATGTGTTGATAGGATTAAGAAAATCAAATATATAAAAAGCGTTTTCAGGTTGCAGAACGAACTGATTGCACTCAAATACTTTCAGTGGCTCTCGGCGATTACTTTTCTTCAGATGTTCATGTGCGAATTTTTGGCTCTTCATCAACATCTCTTGGTACGAAAGATTCCGACATTGTATGTTGCATATTCGTTCCAAAATCCATTGTTCAATTAATAATGACACGAGACAGAGCAGTTCATCTGTATATTGTTTTTATTGGAGCAATTAATACTGACATAGGTTTTTTTTTTAATGTGATGTGTCATTGCAAGAAACATTTGAAAATTTAACAATATATTTTATTAATGAATCTATAAATTTGACATAGCACAATTTTAAAATTTAAATTTTTTAGGATGCAAGTTTGTTTTTCAATGTACCACTTACGGAAGCACACTGTACTGGAGATCTGATGAGGAATAAATATATATTGCTGACCTGCGATGTTACTGCATTAAGAGGGCGTAAAATTTGCGCTGAAGAATATGCTAGGCTTACCGAAGCTGGTTAATTTATAGTATACTTTTATATTAAGCAATTTCACATAATATCGAAAAGAAAGATGAAGACCTCATGTAATGAGCGTCTTTTTCAGAATTTTACAATTATTTTGAAGTATTTAGTCTTAATCTAATAAAATTAAAATTCTAAGTGCTTTGACGATCTTGCTGTATTGTCGAAAAATTGGTCTTGATGGTTGTAACAATTTCCCATTTTCTCAGATTTAACTCAGATCAACAGTTTAATTTTTTAAAGTGATTAGCTGACAGATTTTAAGATCGTGTTCGTTTGCTGAATAAAATAATGAATGACATACGAAAGCGTGGTGCGGCATCTGTTACTGATCAATATCCAATCCTTGATGCTCGTTGTCCACTTGTGCGACTTACCGTTAATCGGTATGGTGCAGAATTATCAAATTTTAATAGTAGTAAATTTTATCAGTTTAGATACTGAATATGATTAAAACATAAATTTCCATTTAGTAAAAAAATTTTTATATATTTTAATATCTTATCTTTGCTTTAGAGAACAAAAATACGGCATCTTCAGGAAATATACCGTCGACTTATCTGTGGATAATTATCTTGGGTATGCAAAATCTAATTGGCTTAGAAGTATCGTACACTGTGATTCCTCACAACTTATTCAGAAATTTTTTGTGTCCTTCAGGTTTTGGGCTCATACAAATGCGCTGTTGAAGGCTGATGAAAAACAGGTCTGTTTTAGTGGTTTAGTAGATTTGTTTATTTTAAGACTTCCGACCTTATTTAATTCCTGTTATTTTTGTTTGAATTGCTTTTCCATGAAGTAACGTCTTATCTTTTGGGACTTTTTTATGAATGTTATTGTGCTGTTTAGTACAAGATCTATAGAGCCGCGCAAGTTAAGTTCAAAGTTGATATTTATTGAAATTAGTAACTTAAAAAGGAAAGCCTTATTTCTTATTCTTTTCATCCACATAATATTTTAATGTACGGACAAAGAATTTTTCCTTCTGCACCACTGTTAAGCGGAGCATTCTGCAAAAAAGTATTTATCAACAAAGTAAACCTCTTTATAGCGATCACATTTCAATGCATATATATTGAACATGCTGTGCGTAATATATCTGCAGTTACACAATTATATACCTCCTCTTCAACGAGCTCAGAAAGAAATGGTCGTAAATGGATGGAGAGTTGATTTTTTTGTTGATTGTGTGGATTTATCCTGTCTGACACTTAACAAATTATTTAAGGTTACCATTGCTCACTCTTATTAATGTCGATTTTTGGAGTACTTTATTGAAAATTAATTATTTTAAAGCAATTAGCGATATTTTTATGCATATTTGCTAAAAGTATTTTTTTGCAGGATTTTTTTATTTGGTTCGTTCAGTTGAAATTGAAAGACACAATACTGTGTCCTTATCTGGGTAACGCTGTTTCATTCGATCAGTTCCAACAGTTATACCCAGACAGCAGCGTTCAGAGCGTTTTCAAACTTGCGCATTTGAACATACAGGCAGGATCTTTTCTTAACTTGTTTGGAAAGTTTGTAGTTGTATACAATCATGTCAACATATACATAATCAAATAAAAAGTGAAATGTGAAATTTTTACTTCAATTTAAAATACTGTGATTTACTGCAGGATCCACTGGAATGGTCGCATAACATTTCCATGTTGGTTTCTGAAAAATATATCGGTGCAATGCGTCGTCAAATGATGTTTGCATTGTCGCGGATGAAAATAACACCAAATTCATTTTTAACCATATTGCAAGAAACATCTGATACTGCGACGAAGTCATCTTTAGGTTTATTTTTATTTTGGCTTTTCTATCTTGTAGGTTAATAAATTTTTTGTTATATATGTTATACAGAAGACCCTCTCCTCCTTCGACCAAGTCATAGTGATTTCTGTGATTTCGTCTCTTATTATTATCCAATTTAATATGATAAACCAGTAGCTGAAGACATGTGGCCGATATTACCATGTTTTGAATGTCACTTAAAACAAAGTGTTGATAGATTTTGTTGTACATTTTCAGAAACTGTACTGCCGAACACGCAATTATCTGGTAATTCATTATATATATATATATATATATATAACTAGTTTCTATTTTGTGTGGACTGTTTCTGATAAGAGAAATTTATTTGAAAAATTTTGACAATATATATCGTCAAGATTTTATGCTAAATATGAACGGTTGCAGATTATACACTGAGAATCCACGTTGGAGTTTGTCAGGCGGATCAGTGCATGGAAGCTGTGAATCATATTTTCGTCAAAATTTTAGCATTCTCGTTAGCTGTAGAACCGTTCGAGAAACGACCACGGCTCGATGATACTCCCAGTGAGTTTTGTAGTGTCTACTTAGCTAAGCGACGTACTTGGGAAGGTCGGAGGCAGAAGCGACGCCAAATAATGCGGGAATATTCTGCGCTTTTAGAGGATTCAATAGCTCTGGAGGAAACAGTAAGTTATTTTGCTAGTATCTCAGTATCTCTATATTCAATATATCAATTTCACTTCAATTTTCATTTTGCTGTCTTGTCGATTTATTTCTCTTATTGTATGACTTTTAATGAGTAACCGCACATTGCACTTACCATTCTTTTGAAAGTCAAGCAAATTATTTTCTATTCCAGTTAATTTCTTTTTATTTTCGATTATCTTCTGGCACATATGTTTTTGTATTTCGTTAATAATTTTTCAGGTCACTCAACAAATCAGTCAGACAAGTGAGGAAACATCACTTTGTTTCAAAACATATGTGAAGCAGAAAGCTGCAGAATGTTCACTTGAATTTGTTTTGATCAGTGGATCAGCGGTAGAATTTAATAGCCTTTTTCATTTTTTGCAACACTTTATTCCGGCTCACATCAGCAAGCTTCTATCGACTTCTTTCGATGTGCCTATGGAATGATTTGCTTCCTTTTATTTTCTCATCGCTTACTTAAAAACAATTTTAAAATACGATTTTTTCGCTATCGATTTTTGTAATTTAAACTTGAGAAAAAACTGAGTTGGTAAAGGTCACATATTATTATGTTATTTTGGAAAGTATTAGTGTTAAATATGTTACGCATTGTCTTTATGGATCTCTGCATATAATGCTTGTGGTTGTAATAAACATGTTTGTATTTTATATTTATTTTCCTGATAAATTTTCTAATAACACCTGTTTCCTTTTGTATATTACGTACTGTATCGAATTTTATAAAATATCTCGATTTTTAAACTTTCTTTGGTTTCTATAAATTTTCACAAAAAAATAATTTTGCTATATGCTTTGTAGGTTGCGTTGCATCGTGTTTATTCTCTTATGGTGTGTTAGATTTTAGGAAGTAATTGAACTAAATTAAGTTCCGAGAAGTCCAATATGGGTGTAGGAGAGATTTTTCGAGAAGAGAGCATGAAAGCAGTGAATGAGATTATTGCTCGCTTGATCAAAGCCCATCAGGAGGGAAAAGATATCGATTTGAATCGCCTTAAAAGTAAAGTCTCCTCAATCTACTCATTAAATCGTCAGCCAAAACTAGTGGATATCATCGCTGCAGTGCCTGCAGAACATCGGGTACGCATTTGATCTTTCTGTGTTTTTGTGATAATTTACGAACATACGTGCTTGAATTCTGCAGTCCTATTTCTTTTCAAAAATTCATGTACTTCCACTGTTGATAAATTAATTTCGAGAATTTATCAAATTTATTACGAATCACTAATAAGCAGATCTCAGAGAAGTCCATAATAGATTTGCAGGAATATACTGAAGATGTAAAATTGGCTATTGGGTAGGGCAAGAATCTCATTACAAAAGTCCATATTTGATTCCTTTTTTTCCAAAATTTCAAATTTAATTTTAGCAAACTTAAATTCTTTACTTATAGTGTTAACAAATGATCAATGATCCCAGACATTATTCTGTGTTTTATGTTCAAATCGCAATTCTCATAACTGATATATAACCCACAATATCACTCTTCAGAACATAATTTACAGAATTGGTTGCTGCCGAAACTGAAAGCTAAGCCAGTTCGAACAGCCAGTGGTATCGCTGTTATTGCCGTTATGTGTAAGCCTCATCGCTGTCCTCATATCCATTTTACAGGCAAGTCTTAAAAAACTTGGGTCCTGCAATTTCAATGAATTTTCAAAAGAAACATTAAAATTTGATTATTAGATATTTGGTTATACGAGATTCTTTTTGTTATATATAAAATTATATAATGGTTTAAAAGAGAAAATTAAGCATAAGGTGAGCCAAGAAATTTCATGCAAGTGCTTGTATGCTCTTCAGTAATACTTCCCGTGAACCTTTGAACTTTTTTAAATACGGCCGATTTTGACGAATATTTCTTAAATTGTTTTCCTTCCTCGTATCTCAGCATATTCTTTTAAAACACTGAGTTAAATTAATTGGTGTAAAACAACCTATTTGAATTATTTTAAAAAATTTACAGACATCTTGTGATTAATTAGTTTCAACATTCAGGTAATATCTGTGTATACTGTCCTGGCGGACCGGATTCTGACTTTGAATACAGTTCTCAGTCTTATACGGGCTATGAGCCAACTTCAATGCGAGCAATCCGTGCGCGTTACAATCCTTTTCTACAGACGAGAAGTCGAGTAACACAACTTATGCAGCTTGGACATAATGTTGACAAAGTTTGTTCATTTTTTTAAATTTAAGTTCATAGTAGACTTTCGGCATTGCATGAAAAAAATGGCTTAATTGATTTGGGAAATATTTGAAATGACTTTTTGTAGATTTCAAAGTTAACAGCATAAATAAATGGATTAAAGATGAATGGTACAGTTTAGACATAATGTTGAATTATACATGAATTGTATGTATAATTCTGAGCTCGAAAGTATTGTTACCGCTCCGTTACTTTCGTCTCGAAATTTCATTCAGTTTCTGACAAATTTTCTAGATCGATTTTTTAATATTTACTAGAAGTGTAAGAAGGTATCAAAAATGTGGTCCAGTGTTTTTTCAGGTAGAATTCATAGTAATGGGAGGTACTTTCATGTCACTACCAGCTGATTATCGTGATTACTTCATTCGGAATCTTCATGACGGGTTGAGTGGTCATACTAGTAGCAGTGTGTCTGAGGTGTTTATTTTATTTTTAATATCTTTAATGGATATTGTATTCGTTTAAAACTTACAATTTATTTGAAAGCCACAGCTATCATAATATGGAAGATAAGTGCATTGTAGCTATTTTATTTTAAAAGAATATATTCGAACCTACAGGCAGTAGCATTCAGTGAACGAAGTCGAGTGAAATGTATTGGCATAACGATCGAAACTAGACCTGATTATTGTTTACCGAGACATTTGGATGAAATGTTAAGCTATGGTTGTACAAGACTAGAAATTGGTGTTCAGTCAATATATGAAGATGTTGCCAGGGACACGAATAGAGGCCATACTGTGTGTTTCCTTTATTAGTTTATTTCATTGCAAAATTTGTCCTTATAAAATAACTTATAAAAACTAAGATTTGAAAATTAAAAATGATAGAGATGGTAAACTTTTGATAGCATCTCCTAATGGATTGTATCGGTATTGTGTTCGTATTTATTCAGCGAAGCGAAAGGGCTGGCAAGGATTATAGTGAAAAACCGAATTAATTCTTTTTCTCAAAAAATGATACCATTTGCATTATCTGAATCCATAATGAAGCCTTGTTCATAATTTAATATTAGGCTAAATATGTTCAAAATTCACTTTTTTTTGCTCAGATCGATTTTTGGTTATCATTAAAAAATATTGCTTTGGTACTTATGTACCATATTCATTTGAAACGCAAAAGAACCAGTACTAAAAAAATGAAACTCTCTTTTATGGCAACTGATAAAAATGCTCATGAATTTTTGATTTATAATTAATCATTGCAGGTGAAAGCAGTATGTGAATGTTTTCAAATAGCAAAAGATACAGGTTACAAGGTAGTAATACATATGATGCCAGATCTTCCTAATGTTGGAATTGAACGAGACATGGAACAGTTTATCGAGCTTTTTGAAAACCCAGAATTTCGACCAGATGGTCTCAAAATATATCCAACATTAGTCATTCGCGGCACTGGTTTATATGAACTATGGAGAACGGGACGTTATAAAAGTTATCCACCTGAGGTTCTGCTGCTGCAGTATTTCTTGAGTTCAGCCCAAATCATTGGGATTGACCGTCATTCTTTTCTCATTTTTTCTGTTAATATAGATACTGGCCATCGGATGGCTAAAGACAATAGCTCCATTTAGTGCTAGATACGTAGCATCTGATAGGTTTAGCTCCCTTAAAATTTGTTAAAATTCGAAGACATGTTTTTGTTATGTTTCTATACTTTATCATTCTCGCATAAGATTTTCTATTCGACTTTTACAGAAGTTTGTAAATATGTTACTTATAATGAGTTTTGTTAAAAACCTAGCTGATTTCAAAAATTTTTCTTAAGTCTACTTTTAAATGTCTTATTTTTAAAGATTCTGGTAGATTTGACGGCACGGATTCTGGCTTTGATTCCTCCGTGGACTCGTGTTTATCGTGTACAACGTGATATACCAATGCCTCTTGTGACTAGTGGAGTGCGGTATGGAAATCTTCGTGAACACGCTCTTGCACGTATGAAACAGCTTGGAACTTCATGTCGGGATGTCAGAACACGTGAAGTTGGGATTCAGGTGTGCTCTTAAAGTTCTTAATCATTATTTAAATTGCTTATTTTTCAAGTTAGAATAATGATCACTTGCAAAGCAAAATTTAGACAATGGATTTAAGTATGTTCCTAAAATTAATTTGTCGAGAGAATTAAATAACTAATTTATTGGAAAATGAGTGAAATGCATTATTTTACATTCTTTATTTGCTATAAATAAGTTCACTATTGTGTCTTTCCTATCTTACTGCCTGTTTTTTTTTGAACTCAAAAATTGAATTTTTGAAAAAAGAGCAAAAAAATTTTGCAAAATAATTCTGGTAGAAATTACTTATTTTATTTCCCTTAAATATAAATTAGCAGTTTACACTATGGCTCATTGTTAAAATTTCAGGAAATACATAACAAAATCCGCCCTTACCAAGTTGAGCTTATTCGTAGGGACTATGTCGCTAATGGTGGATGGGAAACGTTTCTTTCTTATGAAGATCCGGAACAGGTTTTTTTTGGAATTCGTGACAAATCAATTAAATAATTATCTCAAAAGTTATAAGGTTACTTTATTCTTTGTAAGTAACCATTTATTTTTGATACTATTCTGTTGGAAAATCTTTCCTTTCAGGATATTTTGGTAGGCTTGCTAAGATTGCGAAAATGTGCCGATAAAGTTCATCGATTGGAATTGAAGGTATTGTTTGCAATTCCTCACAGAGAGTTAGATGTTAGAATCGAATAACAATAATTTCTCGATTCATTAATTCAATCCGAAATTATTTTGAAAGAATTATATTACTTTTGACATCGGATTAAAATTCTTTTCTGCAATCTATTATTATCCATTTTATTATTTTGTTTATATCGTACTTGTATCTTAGTACTTTATTTATATATCATAATGCTGCAAAGACGAGGCGTTCATCAATGCAGTAATGAAAATCTAAAGTTTTCGATTAACTAACTAAATTTAGCTGCTATGGGTCCATTTATTTACACTTAACATTCGCAGATCGATCTTTGATGTTTCAAAAATACTTTTCATTTCGTTTTTTCTTTAAATATTTAATCATTTAATCTAACAAAATCTGAGCTGTGCGAATGTTAGATGATTGAAGAATTCTGGGAAATGCATTGAACGTAATTTATCGTAGAGGGATTTGGAATATGTGAAAATAACTTTCAAAGTTATTTATTTAATGTTCCTTTATGATGCCGTGGAGCTTGCGAACAAGAGAAAATTAATTTCTGAGCTGCAAATGAAGGAACTAGAAAAAATTTTAGACAATTTCCAATGATAGAGATTTTGGTTTAGCTTTGGAGATGAAGAATAAAAAGGGAAAAAAATGTTTCTTATGTAAAAGTTAAATTTTTCTCAATAAATATTTGTGTTATCGATAAAGGGATAAAAGAGTGTAGATTGGTGAGTAAAGAAAGAATACAGTCCTTACAATTTAAATTTAAGAAGGATGTGAGCTCAATGAAGTTTTTTTCGCTGAAATAGGAATTTTTTCACTGCATAATTAGCTTAGAGAATTTAGGTAGCAATTGTCATTTAATTACTTCCCTTATCTTCCAATCCATATTTCTTTACTTATAACGCTCACGGAAATTTTTAAGCTTAATTTGTTTTAATTTTTGAAAGTTGTTAGATTTGCACTGTTAGCATCATTTTTTTTCACTAGCTTTATTCCATTATTCTGTATTCTGTGTTTTTTTTCTGTTATTAGTGCAGCTGCAGACTAAAAAAGCGGACGTTATTTTTCCAAAGAGATAAGCTAATCATTCAAATGTATTTTAATCTGTCTTTCAAGAGAAAAGATTTGGAAGTGCTCGCTCAATTTATTTCATGTCTGTTTTAGTGTCTGTAAGATATATGTCATATTGTTTTTTGGATCTAAGATTTAGCAGGAGAATTCGGCCGATTCACTGAGATTTCAACATCTCACTTTTGTACTTGAACGTATGGTTTTAATTATCTCTTCATAATTAAGCGTGCATTGCGTTGTTTCCACTTACTCTAATTCAATATGAATCTGAAAGAGTTTGGTAACTAATAAATTAGCTGTTAGATGTAGATCTTTTTTCAAAAATTTCTTTAGAATCATTTTCAGGATGGAGTTTCGATCGTTCGTGAGCTACACGTTTATGGATCAGTAGTGCCGGTCTCGGCTCGAGATCCATCCAAATTCCAGCATCAAGGATTTGGGCAATTGCTAATGGAAGAAGCAGAACGAATTGCCAAAAATGAACATTTTAGCAATAAATTAGCAGTTATTTCTGGTGTGGGTACAAGGAATTATTATCGGTTAGTTTTGTCAACTGCTTACAGGATATTTTTTTATTCTTATTTCTCTAAGCATTTACAATATTTGAGATTAGTGAAATGCTTATCGCAAGGAATATTGGGGATGAATCTTTGTACTGAAATTTAATTATTTCATATTGCTTACTGTTGAACAGCAGTCTAGTAAAAAGAGGGGACATATTTTAGAAAATGAAGGACGAAAATTTAATTTGTTTGATATGAGGAATCAAAAAAGCTCAAGAAAGAGAATCGTCCTATATAAAACAAGTTTTACGTTGGCTTCAAAACTGTTATGACTTTCATATTATATTTATCAAAATTATTTAAATTCACGGACCCAAAATTAGGAAGCCCAGCTATTTAGGAAGATGACAAAAATAATGAATAGTTTTTAGTCATGAATTCAATTTTTGAAACCATATTTTATCTTCCTAAGTAGCTGCAGATGGGAGCGAAACGATGGACATAAACTAATCCTCGAAAATCCCGCTTTTACAAATCATGCATATTTGTTCTTCAGCTAAAAGTTTTGCATGTAACAAGATTTGATATTATTATTGTCGTTTAAAATCGTTTATCAGTTTGCTGACTAGAGCTCACAGACAGAGATTTGATGTCTTTTTACTCTGCTCCTAGCACAAGATTTGATAGCCACCATCATATTTCTGACATTTTTATTGTGAAAATTTCCTGCGTGGCTTAGATTTTTGGCCCAAAAATTCTGATAATCATCAATCTCCTTCAGAAATTACGTGTGATTCATCTAGATAATTAGCTTCATCAGGCGCATTTAGTTTTTGTTTAAGTTTTTCCGGTTATACTGTTAAATTTTTTCGAAAGAAATTGTGGCGCTAAGGTATATTCATTTTAAGCATTCATAACAATGAAAAACATTATTTTTTGATATTTTTGATTTATTCTGTTTTAATTATAGTTAGCATTATAATTTGACAATCGCGTTGCATCGTTCTTTTGGGAGAAAGCTATGATGTCTTGCTTTTAGGAAGATGGGATACGAACTGGATGGTCCCTATATGTCGAAATCGTTATAATTTCCATTTTTGATCTAAATGTTCTAATATCACGAATACGGTTTATATTTATGGATACAATTTTCATTGTGGTGATAATCTTCCGAAGCTTTTTGGATTTTGAAAGGAATTGCTTTTCTTGTTCTAAATATGTATTAACATGTTCTGTTATGCTTTGTTATCTAAAAAATGAACTTGATTTTGATTCGTGTTTCTGCTTTGTTATTATTTTGAATGTTGCGGAATACTCAAGATTTGATGGATTTTATTTGCTGAAGTTCATCAGTTGCATGTTATAGTATCTCACGACTAAGCTCAATTTATTATTGATAAATTCTGAAGCTTGAAAATCAAGAACTGAGAAGCTCGAGACCATTGATTTGAATACCAGAAAGTAAGTTTAGACTGTATACCAAGTTTAAGCTGATGGACTACAAAAGGCTAAATTGAGCGGGGAATAATATTTGAGGTAGCACTTTTCCTTGAAATAATAACGTATTTGAAGTAGCATTTCTCTAAATTTTAATAAAACACTATCCTGAAATTGCTTCATTTCGAAACTTTATTCGAAAACACGATCACATTTGAAAATTTACACAATACAGTAAGTGAAAAATCATGCTAATCATGTGTAGTCACATGTTTTCAGGAGACAGTGAATTACGCAGACTATGAATTCGGTGTGTGCGGTTTAGACCAAAGGCTAATTTAGCATGAGATAAGATCGCAAAGCAAATGAGATTATTCAGCATTATTTCTTTGATTTACTTCTCTGGTGGAACTATATGCTAATTAATATTGTGGTAAAGTGGTCAGAAATGTGGTACATTTTGCGGACAGCTCATTCACATCAATTTTTGCTCAGAGTGATATTGGTAACTGTAGCGTTAATATAGTAATTTGAACTTAAATATGATTACAGTTTAGATATGAAGTGACTGGAAATGACCAGTGATAGTTGTGACTCATCGGTCCCTGTCAGAAACATTTGCAAAGTAATTCTTTATCATAGTCTCTTGGCTTATATATGCCTAAAGTCATATAGGAAGTGTAAAAGGTTGGAATTCTTGGAATCTAAATATAAAATCTTTAGCATTGAGAAGTGAGTTCTTGAACAGCTAACTGTGACCCATAAATGGGTACGACAGTAATATGAATCCTATATCAATGAAGAAATGATGTAGATTAACAGCAATACAATTTTTTTGAAAGTTTGTAAATCTCTTAAATTCAAGCATTCATTAAAATTTTTCCTAGCTAAAGCTATGTGCCAAATAGCTGTTGAAAAGAGCCAATTTACGTCGCTTTCGGAATGCAAGAATTTAGAATTGATTTAGAGCATTACTTTTCATTCAAAACCTTAGTTATTGATACTTAAAATGGATATACTTTAGTTAGATTTCTGTGTTTGATATCATATTTGTTAACAAACTTCTCCTTATCATCCTGTTAACTTACTCCCACCTAATCTCACTGGTAATTTCCTGCGGTAACGTCATAATTGAAACTATCGGAAGAATCGCAAAAATGCTCTTATCTGTCCCTTTATCACCTTATCACTTTTTTTGTCACCTATGATCTTATCACTTTTCTCTTCCTCTTTTGCAATTACTATCACCATTGTTGCATAGCTACGAATTTCCTTTGATTAATTTGATTAACATTTGGATTGATCGTACTTCTTATAATTCTTGCTTAATCGTTTATTATTCACATCCTTTTTTTAATGTAAATGATATTAGTTCAACAGAATGCGACAATTCACTATTTATACAGGAGATTTGCTTGCGAATAATTTATCCAGTCGATAATTTCATTCTATATGTCCAGTTTGTGTATACATTTGTAATGATATTTCATCCATGTTTTGTTCCTCAATTACATTATAATTATTGTATTACTAAATTTGTGAAAAAGATAATGATAAGAAGAAGCATAGAATACACTGCTTAACACTTTTGGTAAATTGATTAAGAGGATTACGATTAGCATCTGCTAATGATGTTGTATTCTATATGTGAATAGATAGATTTGCATTCGAAATTGCTAGAACCGTACTGAATCGAATCATCACCATACACTTCCCAATTGCTGAGAAGTTTGATAAGTGTAAGAAAGCATGCTTATTTATTACAGTCAAATCAGATAGAAGTGATATTAATTTTTAGAGCTTTCATAAGTTTACCAAATAAAAAGGAAATCTTTTGAAAAATTATTTATTGGTTATCTCAAGTCATAATTCGGAATTTTAGTGCTTTTAAGAATATTATTGAATTATATGTTGAATCAGTGGTAAGAAAAGAATTAAGAAATTGGCTGACTTTGACGACAGCAAAAATAAAAAAACATGCGGAGGCGCCATTTAAAATCTAATATTTTCATGCAGCAATGGTTTAAAAATTTTTAAAATTTAAGTTGATGAATAATAATAGTAGTTTATTCCTAACCTTTTTTGTATTTCTGGATAATAACAGTAGTTTATTCCGTGTTAATTAATCTACATGATCTTTAATTAAATTACAGATGATATATTGAATATAGTAAAAATAGTTCCATCATTAAAAAAGTATTCAAACGATCACATACTTCATTATTGCTGTCGCTAATATGAAAATGGTTCTTAAGATACTTTACAATCGTTAAGAAAGGGATGAAAGAAAAGCTCTCTGTACTATTTGTACATTAAAGTACAATGAAGCAGGAGCAGTAAAAATTGATACATAACATAATATAAGTGCGCCGAACGGTACAATATTGACCTAATTATTTTATATGTGTGATTATTAATATGTCAGTGGTTCCTGATAAACGGATACTGTGTATACTGTCTAATCGATTTCAGGTAATATGTCGATTATGAAAAAATTGATCAAGTTAGACAAATGTAGTTCAAAATGTAATCGGCAAGCTCATAAAAGTGGCAGTAATGTTGAGGAACACTCTAAAGATTAAGATTTAATTTTTTCCAATTAAAGATTGTATATAATTTCCAAAAAATTTAAAAATGCCTAAAATTTCTATTCATCAGAATTAGTTTAGAAAAGCTGAAATCAAAATATTTCCCAAAATAAAGTGGTTTTACAAGAATGATTGAACTATTGAGAATAGAGATATGAAATTCAAATTTGTCTTAAAATAATAAAACAGTGCTTCATGTTGACTCTTTACCGTTCAACAATTACAAATAACAGTAAATTCTTCAAAAATTACTGCCCTTTTGATTTTGGAATTTCCATCTGGCTGATAATATCGTACATTGATGCGCGATTCTTCGATATATCAACACGACTTAGGAGTGTTGAAATTTGTCGTTGAAAGTCATCATCTTCTTGCTGGTTCAATGCAATACGCTGCAAAATTTAGATATTTTCATAAAAATTTTTATCGGTTCTGATTCTGAAATCAATGATATCTCAAAAAACGACTGGAAGAATTTGTATTCTGCTGAAAAATATAACTCCCGATAAAACAGCATCTCCAATGAAAAAAACAATTCCAATAAACTGATTTGTAAAGCAATAGGATAAAAAATCTTTCCCAGATGTGATCTTTCTGAATACACCATAACAAACTGAAAAAGAACAAATACATTTAAAAAACAAAGTATTCATTTTTCAGAACCGAATGAAAACAAATGAATACAGTACATGGAAGAAGTATTTTATTACATAAGCAATCATTGATCTATTAAATGCTCAAAAAAAGCTTTGACAGCTTCCTTTCCAGTAAACTTTACAGTCTAGCAGCGAAATGATAAGTGAAACTGAAGACCAGTCTAAGATCCTGATCTGTAATAAAATATTTAGGTTTAAGAGATGATCCAAACCAGATCTAACAAAAATAATGTTCTAATGTATTTGAAGCACTTGAGATTACCAGCTTAAAATAGACCAAAAAAATTAGGCGACAAACAGTTTTAAGTTGTATTAAGATTATTTCGAGGAGGTCATAAGCTGTTACAAATTAAAATCATATCAGTAAAAATCAAGATATCAACGCTATTAATTTCCTACACAGTTTTAAACACACCAACTCTTTAAATCAAACCAATTGTGAATTTCCCTATTATTGTTATTTCGATTTAATATATCAGGATATTAAAAATTGAAAAATTGAAAGAAACAAGAAAATATGAATTCCTTACCAGTACACTGTCAGATGCAACCATAGAAATGGATTGTGTTGAAAGATTTTGTGAAAAGTTCAAATAAAGATCCCATTTCAACAAACATGTCGAGTATAAAAATGAGTATACAATGACAGACAGTAAGATTGATAAAATCTTACATTATTTCATTAGAACAGAACCAAAGTTAAAAATTTACTGGCTGCTAATTTTTCAAACAAAAAGATTATTTTAATTATTTCTGTTAATTTAATCAAAGATTAATTCAATCATTTAGCATAATATCTATTCAGGTGATAGATCAAAAATTAATGAAGTGCAACTAATTAAGTTTCGCCCTTCTTGACCAAAATAGTGTACTGTAATTACCAAGAACCGTTCCACCAACACATTTACATTTCAAAGCTATGAGAATATTAACATTTAGAAAAAAAATCAAATAAGAGCTATAGAAAAAAGTTCAGAGTTTCTTCACACCAATTTCACAAAAAATTATAATGGTTTGATTAAAAATTTCACAAAAATTTTTCTGAATTCTGAAATCTATGTATTTATTTCTATCATTTTCAAATATATTTCAGTTATCCTCTTTAAATAATTTAAAAGAAAAAAGGATATCTTAACTAAACGATCCAGTTCTCTGTATTTCTATCTTTTCTTCTACTTTTCCAGTTTACTTGCATTGAAAGAAAAACACCTATGAGAACGATCATTGCTCTATCCAACAAATGAATACATCATTAGCTGACATTTTTGAATGCTACACCAATTGAAATTCATGCAGAAAAAAGATCTGTATACTATAAACCACTGTTGGAAGATTTGGTGAATGCTCCATATCTGTATTACATACTTCTGTATTTCGATGATGTTTTTCAATAACAATAAAGATATAACGTTAAAGAATAGTACTATCGATTTGTTCGCAAAAAGATTGAACTTTAATCTACCATAATTGTACTACTTAATTCTGAGCAACAGTATAACTTCTATATCAATTTTCATAATGGCTACTACACAATTAATCTCTACCAACTTTCCTACCAATCTTCACACTGATAAAGTAAAAATTGTCTTATTAATTTGAAGAGAAAAACGTGATATAAATGACATTAAGATTTCGAAAGGAAAGTTGAAACCAGAATTCCCGATTCAACCATCAATCTTATTCAATACCTTTTCTTTTTGCCTGCATTAGTGCTGTATGATGACTCTAATCTGCTCTCAATCAAAAACAATTATTCACGATGTCACTGTGTTTTACCGACAACTATATATTGAACAGTAGTCAATTAATATTGTATTCGACTAATATTTACTGTCTCTTATTAAATAAAACTTAATTTAAATTACATCAAATACTTAGATTTTCTACCACTATATATGGAAATTTAGCAGAGAAAAGAAATCTGAAATATGAACATATCCCAGCAAATTATGTTCACTATTGAGTCAAATATAATTGAGGATTAAATTGTTCATGCATAAGCCTGCCGAATATTTGAATTTAATCTTGTAGATCATCAACACAAATAATTCTAATACTATTGCATACCTATTTCAAACTCATATTTACATTATAGGAAAAGCTTTCGTTTCTATTTGCTATTTTATCTTTTTAAAATAGAAATGAACAATCATACTTCATGGAAAGAACGACGTCTTTTCTCGCGTTCTTCTCTTTGATGTTTCAAAGTATTCATCAGTTTTTCATTGTGTGCTTTGATCCTTTCCTCAACTTTATCCATGTAATGATTCAAGTGATCTAATTGCGAATCCAATCTTCGAATTTCTGAAAAAAGAAAGAAGCTTTATAATGTGCTAAAAAGAGAAAAGTAAAACAAAAAAATTCGCTTCATAAGGAGGAAATGCTTCCCTTAATAACATAAAAAAACACGAATTTCCAGATGAAATGGATTAAATGGAGTGTAAAATGATTCATATGTACATTCTTTATAAATAAAGGAATTAATGAAATGAAGAAAGCTCATCTTTATAAATAAAGGTGATTAACAGTGCAAAGAAAGAAATATCACAATTTTTTGCTTTTTTATGCTCAGCTATTGAAAAGAATTTTGACTTTTTTGAAAATTCTCATGGATAATTGGATAATGATTTTAATTTTAACTGGAAGACAAATGTTAATAAATTCCATTGTCTAAATAAATATCCTTACGTTCTAAATTTCGAAATATTTTGCTAAAATTTACCTTCATTCCCATCATCTTCAGGTGTAATTTCGTTGAGCACTTCCAGACCATGTTGTAGTACAGAAAGCGAACTATTTTTTTTGTTTTCATTCGCTTCTGACACATTACCATTTGTTGTTGCCTGTAATATTTCAGTATTTTGAATTTGTGTTTTAGACAAGTAGCTTTAAAAAATAATTGCAAACTTTAAATTGCAAATTGAACTTTTTATTTATTGTTGATACTAAACTAACTGAAATTTTTGGAACCATTTTTAAGCTCATTAATTTAAGTTGGATTAAATTAGGATCTGAAAATAGCCAAAGTTGCCTGAAATAGTGGAATAACTGTGCGTGACGGGCGTTTACTGAGGCAATACATATATTTTAATGACTTTGAAATGAATGTAACACAGAAGGAAATATTTGTTAAAAGCTTTTTGCTATTGTAATAAATTGTTTAAATGCTATTTAAATGCTTAACTGAAGAACAGTAAAAAAATTAAATGAGTAATTGATTCAATTTTTTTTCAAAATATGCGAAAAAAACAAAATTTGGCAATAAAAGTAAAGAACTAATTCAACAGTCATTCATATATTTGAATTATTTTGCAAGGTTTTTACAAAAATGAGTACGACATAACAAAATATGATATCCTATAATAGGGAATAAATCTAACTTATAATTCAATACATTATAAATCATTTTAAAACCTTTAATTTAAAATGCCAATTTACAAATATATGGAAAATAGCAATGCCCTCTTTCACATAATATACCTTTATGCAGCATGTTAATTTAAAACATTTTGTAAAAGAAAAATGCTCTGGGCATTTGATAGCTGAGGATAAATTCGATACCTCTCCATCATCGATAAGTTTACTCCAAATTTGTACTATTGAGCATTCAGAAAATCATTAGTTCTTCTAATCCTCAAGCTTCGCCAGTCACTATCTTCTCTATCTTCCTTACGCCTTCAGGCACATTACTGTTGAATTTATTACATTCATATTTAAATATCACAATCACAATAAATATCGATATCTAATTTTGAAGAATGAGCATACCTGTTGTTGAATTTGAGAAAGCGGTCTGTTCCTCATTCGGACAACGGTTACATTCTCTTCCGTTCCCATTGATGGTATCTGATCGGTGCGTTTTTCTTCAGTTCCTTGGCTCTGAACAGATTGTAGCAAAAGTTGTTGTTGCTGATCATTAGTGGATGATGTTGAGGTGATTGAAGTGGATGAGGTGGATGATGTCACACTCTGATCACTGTTATCACCACTAATCCTCTTTCTCTGATCATTGTCCATTTGAAAATAAATATCTGCGTTCCTATTGCTACTGTTGCTTCAAATTGACACTGTCGCTTACTTGATAATAATTTACTTTCTGCAAACAAATCCATTCTCGTATATCTTTTTTCTCGATGACAATGATAATAACGCCAGAAATTAATAATAATAATAATATAATAAAGTGAAAGATCGAACAAATGACGGAAGACAGTCAGTACTTTTCTAATTGATTCATACGAACAGCATTTAATAATGATGTGAGCGATCGATAATACAGTGTGATCAGCGATACGATTTTAGGCTCCTCAACGAATGAATGACGAAGGGATGACTGAAGAAAATATGATAGTAAAAAACAGGTGGAGACAGACAGGTGGGAGTGTTTTCTATTCCATTCTCTTCCTTTCCTTTCGTTCAAAAACACCGGAAAGACTGACCGGTCGTCTGTCCTTCTATGATTGTTGCTGAATTATTTCCAACAGCCTGTTGATGTGATGTATAAAAGTTGACCCAAATTATGTCAAATGTTTTTTTTTTTTTTTTGACTAATATTTCACCTCATAATATAACGGATATACGCTCATATCTTTCTTTCAAATAACAACAATTCATTTCAATATCAAATAGAACTCGCTGAAAAAAAAATCAAAGAAAAATAAAAACTATTTGGGGAGCGGAAGGAATGACATATCAACCAAACAAGGGCAATTCTCTCTCTCTCTCTCTATGCTTCATGAAAAATTATTTCCGTTGTGATGTTGAAGCACAGGACGAAATGAATTGAACTTGACAGGCGGCATTTATGGTGTGGTTAGAAACTAAGTAATCATCATAACAATGGGTAATTTTTATAAATTTTGAAAAGAAATATTTGCAGAAGAGGAAGAAAATGTAATACAACAAAATGTAATATCACATGATACTGCCACTTCTCCACTCATAATTATCTTTTTTATCAAAAAGTATGAAAAGAAGATGTAATAAATAAATTTATATATTATCTATGTGTTCTGCATAACCCATTCTACCTTGTCGATAACAATTAGAGTACATGACAAAGAAGGTAATATACTTAAATACTGTCATATATCAGCATTTCTTGCATCATCTTCACCTTAAACATAGCTTCCAATATTTCTGGTATTTCTCGAGAACCTATAAAAAGGACAAAGAAAGAAATATTAGTTACACTTAAGTGTACAGTAATCTCATTTGGATTAACTTTAACTATCATACGCACGAAGAAGTATACTCTATTAGATGTGGAAATTTCAGTTTATTTCCCAGTACCACAAACAATGAGTACAGTAATCTCTTATCTCTTATCATGTCTCATTACTCCCAGCATTACTATCATTACTTTTATTACCACGTTCTTAGCAAATCATATCAACCAAAATAATACTTTGCAAGTATGGCACTGTTAAATAAACAAACATATGAGATGGACGGATGATGAATTTATCACTTCGAGCAAAAATCAAACGGAATCTGATAGTCACTGCAAATGTGCACGGACAATGATAATAGTTCACACCAATAACTAACTGCTTTTCTTTGTGTACCGCTATCCATGTGTATGTATGTGTGTGTATGTACGTGTGCATGTGTGTGTGTGTGTGTGTGTATGTGTGTACGCGTATGTCTATATGCGTGTGCGTGTATGGGTATTTGACTGATAACACGTGAGTGACGAATCTGTAATGTTATCAAATGGAATTTTTGCGGATGAGCCCTCCGTAAGGTTATTTCAATCAATGAATCTATTTGTTTCATTCGACTTTTAAATTAACAAATTAAGCACCTCTTAAATTATTTCATCTTTTAACTAACAAATTAAGTAATTTCGGGAGAAAAAATGATTTCTTCATTTCTAAATTTAAAACAGAAATTGGACGAATGTAATGAAACAGTAATGATAATGTAATTGAAACAATTATGTGCCGGATTTCATACGATAAAAGTATTTACATAATGAAAAGTGTACGGTTGACAGGACAGAAGTTGACATTAACTGATCTTAGCTGGTCATTATTGACCGCTACTTGATCACTATTGATTATTACTTGATTATTGCAGCTGCTGAGAAGGTGAATAAATGAATTCGTTCCACAATTCAATTCAGATATAACATTTTGTTTATTCCTTTGCCTTTCTCTGAAAACCTGCTGGAAAGAAAATGGAAAATGTTATATTTATTTCTATTTTTTTTAACCGGAAAAAATGTTCGAAGCAGGAGAGACATAAAGTATTTCGTTTCAGTTATAGCATTTGTCATAGCCATTACGCATAGCTGTGACTAATTGCATTAGCGCACACCCAAATGGAACTTTTAGTACCTCAAATAAAATAATATTCATTCTGATCGATTTACTCTTTCTGGTTACTTTTCAAAATATTAAAAAATTTCTAGTATATTGGAATATTTATAGGATGGTAAATAAAAAATGATGATTGAAAATGACTGTAAAAAAAGAAAATTTATGTAAACTTTCTTCTCGCAGCTCGATGTGAAATGAATTTTCATTGCAAATTATGAATTTATTCGGATATATTTTCAGCTATAAAATATTCTCTCAAAACGAAAATATTTCCATATGTAAAAACTAAAAGGACTAAAACTACACGCAAACAAAACTTTTTTTTTTCTTCAACTAAAACAGCACAATTTATTCACATTTTCGAGAACTGACATTCAAAAAGCCAGTTAACCTTGTAAAAAAAAATTATGAGTTTACTTTCGAAAAAAAAAAGTTATTTAATTTTCCATTCACACTTTTTAGAAATTATATTCATGGATAAGAAAAGAGGCCTTCTGACAGTGAGTAATTTTCAAGCGTTGTTTCTTCCTTTCGTTTTAAACATTTGCATATACATATTTTCTTAAATTAAATGTACAATGAGCATTTTTTTTATTAAGTACTATTTTTACACGAGCACCTCAATCATTGCCCACAAGATTGCAATATTCATTTTATCATCATACACCCGATAATCATTAACATCATTACCGTCCAGCATTTTGTGTGAATTGTCGAGAAAAGCGATTCATTTCGTGCTCAGACGACGAATTGAATTCACAGCCGAGCATTTTCGCCACAAAAGCAGCTCGGCGATAACAATTAAGCTATTTAAAAAAACCCGTACTTTAATACCGCAATGAGCACAAAATGATCAAATGGTTAGGAACATATGGCTTCAACCATACTATATTTTGTGCTTATTTCATACAGACCAATTATTCGTTAATGGTAATTTTTGGTATCTTCAGATAAATTCACAAGCCTATAAATTATTGCAGAAAGTGATTATGTCGTGAGAAAGAGAAAAAAAATCAGCGAGGCTAAATGATAAGTTGAAATCGATTCTCTGGCCATCTATTTTTTTATTGAATCTAAAAAAAACTTCTTTAAACTTATTAAAAACAATATTGTAATTCATAACAGTTCCCTAAATTATATTTGTAACACTCGATTTATTTGTACCTGTTCTTTTTTTTAGAAGTAAAACGAGCAAAAATGATTTTAATGGAATCATTTGCAATCGATTGAAAATTTTATTTCATTGCAAAAAAATGAGACGGAAAATGTAAAAGCTATTATTGAATTAACTAATACGAAAATCAAAATAAGCTAATAAATCTCAGTTATTTATTGTAAAGATAAGTTCAAACTAAATAATTTACAAAAAAGAAAAAACAACAAAAATTTAAAATTATCCGGAAATATCCGTATAGCTAAAGTTCAATGATATTTCTCATCAAAATAAGGTCATCCTATTTTCTCGATGATATCCATACCATTAAACAATCAATGTTGTTACTATACAGAAGAGGGGAATTTTTTGATGTTGAAATCGTTGAAATGGAAAAGAAGGGAGTTTTTTGATATGAAAGGACGAAGAAAAATGATTTGCTGCTGTACGATGAACAGATGCTGCTACCAACGTTACTGTTGATGGTTGTCTGTGGCAGTCTACCGAAAACTACAGAAAAAATCAGCAGAGGAGAGGATGATTAGAATAGTTAATCTGTTTTGTAATGATTTACGTCTTTCTTTTTTCTGAATAAATAGACCAAATAAACTAAGCAATTCTTTTAAACTAAATTTGTAGGAAAAAAAAGGAAATTGCAGGAATTATGGAAGTCAAATTAATGAAACGATCAATGCATATCAGATACACTTCGATTTCCAATTCAAATTTGATTTTTCTATTTGTTACAAAATTGCAGAATAGTACAGAATATTTTCAGTTGTTTTGGATGAACGTTTCTAAAGACGATATATTATGTCCAAGAAAAGAATGGCGTAAAGCGGAAGGGAAAGGTGAAAACTAAATTGCAAATTAAATCTTCGCTCCTTACCTGAATGGCACATATACATGTATATATATGACAGTATTACACAATTTAAATGTGATAACATATTTTACGACTTAAAGCAAAATTCTAATCTTCGACTCGACTAGTCAATTTATTCTTTCATTAAAAAATATTTTGTACCAATCTGAAAAAAAAATTTTTATCATCTGAATGATAAAAATTTTAATATTTAAATATTTTTATCAGTTTAATTTTCAGAAGTTGTATTTATGAGATAGATAAATTGAAAATGAAACTTAAAGTTACCTAAATTATGTTTTGTCTTTTTAAATCCATAACAATTTTTTTTTAATTTGCAGAAAGGTTCATGGCTTTTCAAAATAATTCTCATGGATATTCAAAATTACAATTTTCAACTTAGGGGTGTTTAAGTAATGCAGTGTTACTCAACTTGCAAGATCTCAACCCAACCTTGAATGTAATTTGGGAATTTTGGGGAAGATTTACTTCCTTGACCCAAATAACTCTTACTCAATAATTTTGATTCCCAAAGGAATTCAATGTCACACATCCTTTTTTCTTCCCCTTGACGAGTTCAAAGCTTGTCATCTAAGCAAGAGACCACATTAATTCCGTCGAAAACAATATAAATTTCTAAAATTAAATTAATTATCTGAAAAAAGTCAATGAAATT